CGAGGAGGCACGGATGCCAAGGGTCCTTACCATGCCGGTTGACTGCACAGCCAAAACGTGTGTATGTACCCAGATCTCGTAATAAAAGGGAGGGGGTCTGGACCCTCCAAGACAAGCCATTTCAGACCCCCCCCCGTGGGAGAACCCCCCAGAACATCGTCCCCAGACCCCCCCAGGCCCTCCAAGACAGCCTGGAAGAGACCCCCCCCGAAATGCGACCCCCCTCCCTTTATTACGAAATCTGGTGTACGTATGAAGTGGCCCTCAGAGAAGGATCCACTCGGTTCTGGCTGCGGCCCCCTGTGGTGCCCAAAAAGACCGGAGGCCCGCGAGCGAGGCCCCGGCGCCCACGGCCACGCGGGTGCGGGCGCCCGCCAGGCTGCTGACCCACACCGTGAGCGCCGGCATCTCCCCCCGCGCCCTTGGCGACTCCGAGGGGTGTGGTCTGCGAAGATCGGCGGCGAGCAAGGGGGGGAGTGGAGAAGGAGAAGGCCTTCTCAGAAGGCGGCGAGCCTTCTCAGAAGCCCTCGCGCCTGATGAGAAGGTTTCCGTGTCTTCGGGGAAGGCTTCGAAATCTTCTCAGGAGGCCGGGGGACTTCCGAGCCTTCTGGGAATGCCTGCCCCTGCCCCTCCTCACTTCCCCCCACGGCTCGCCGCCGAAAAGAGCGTGGCTCGCATCTGGCACCCTCGGGGGCACCCTGGGGGGCGGGCGAGGAAACCTCCGCCGCGCCCGGAGGAGGCCCGACGAGGAGGACGGCGTCGTGCCCCCCCGGGCCCCCCGCGGTGCCGATCACAAGCCGCACCCCGGCGCAACCACACCCCCTCGTGGCCGCCGACGCCTGGCGGCGGAGGGCACCCCGGCCGGGCGCGCGCGCCGGGGCGCTCGAGCTGGGGCTGCGGACGCGCAGGTCCACCCTCGGGCTCGAGCTCGAACGCCCTCGAGCCGTGAGAGCAGCACGACGGGAGGTTTGGGGCGAACGTCGGCCGCTGGGGGCCATCGCCGGGCCGCGGGACCATCAGGAAGCGACGTCTGGGGACCAGCCCCGGAGAGAGCTGGCCGGGACTTCCAGGGACCCCGCACCGCAAGAAGGGAGGCATCGCCTGCCCCATGGGGCGCGGCGATGGCCCTCCGAGGCCGAACACGGCCTCTCTCGGGGAACGAAAACTGACACGAGCATAAAAAAACTCGGAGGTCCGCGCGGAGTTCTCGGATCCGCGCCCGACCCTCCGCGCTCGAGCGCGCCGGCGGCGGCGCCAAAGGGCGCCGCCAGAGGGGCCCCGGCGCCGATCCGAGAGATGCGCGCGGACCTCCCGTGCCGAGGGTCTTCGTGCAGGACTGGCCATGGAGAATGTCGGTGGCAACTCGTGGGAGCCTCCCATGCCATCTTGCCGGCTCTTGCGAATCGACGCTCACCGACGCTAGTCGACGCGAAGTCGACGCGAAATCGACGCTAACCGACGCTAAATCGGCGCTATCGCGTCGCTTCCCAGACGCTAATCGACGCTAGAGACGGAAGTACTAGGGTATACAAGGCTTCCATGATTCGCTACCGAACAACATTGTGGAGGATGGACCGAAGATGACCGAAGAGACAAGGCTGAAAGGGTACCCTCGGGAAGTCGATGATCCTTTCTATGCGGGTTGACTGTCCAGTCGGACTGCTGAAACAAAGAACACCAAATAAGCGACGATCAGAAACGGGTCCTGCGCGAGATAACGTGGCGACCTTACGCGGTGGCTCACGCGGGCCGCCGCCGCGGCACGCTGCATTGGAAGCGAAGGCGCTTACGCGCGACCTTACGCGGGCATGCGTCGCCCACATGAGGAACGAAGCTCGTCTTGGGCACCAGAAGAGCCTGGGTGCACGAGGAAGGCCAGAGACACAACCACGGAGAAGCCTTCGACACAGCGAGCCGCTTCCGAGCCCAGAGCAGTCCTCATGTCAGCGTCGGGGCTGTACGGTGCCCCTCTTCGGTGGCAGCATGAGCCTCCCATTATCTGGCAGGCTCTTGCGAATCGACGCTGGTCGACGGTAATCGACGCGAATCAACGCTAGCCGACGCTACATCGGCGCTTTTCATCGACTCCCAGACGCTAATCGACCCGAAAGACGGAATTCACAGGGCACAGATTTGCTACAGTAGCGGCCCGACCACAAGAAACCTTCCACAAGAAGCCCAATCCTAAGACCCCAGGACGTCCTTTGAGTTCTGGTGTGGGAACGTCGCGCTCTCCACAGCAGAGAAACATCGAAGCCCAAGAAACCCAGGGCACCCTGGAGGCGAGCAGGGTGTTTCTTGGCATGGGCCCCCACTGTACCGAACCCCTCGCTCGCTCGCGAAATCCCGCGGGGCGGGGCCCCCTGCGGTGCCGCAGGAGGATCGCGGGGCCGCAGAGCGGCGGCGCGGGCGATCCAGCGAGTCCAGCGCCGCCCGCGACCCGGCACCGATCGACATCAAACGAGCTGCGCCATCGGAAGGCCGCGATCGATCTCAGAGGAGGACAAGGCACCCATGCCTCCAATTACCCTTCGCCCGTGTTCCCCTGTGTGGGCCACCTGGGAGGCCCTCGTCGCCATCGCTGGATTCGCCTCGAAGGCCCGGCCAGAACGCACCCTGGGAGAGGCCCAGGGAGCAGCGGTACGGTAGAGGGAAGCAAGTACTGAACACGCCCCCGCCCCCCAAACTCAATGTAGGCACGCGCGGGGGACACTGCGGTCGAAGTGCATCTCATCAGACCCACCGCCGACTTTGAACACTGGGGGGAGGAGGCGTTGACGGATGAATGCGGCATGAGCGTTTGCTAAGTTGTTCCGAACATTGGGGGGAGGAGGAGGCGTTGACGGATGAATGTGGCATGAATGTTCGCTAATTTGTTCCGAACATTGGGGGGAGGAGGAGGCGTTGACGGATGAATGTGGCATGAATGTTCGCTAATTTGTTCCGAGCATCGGGGGGAGGAGGAGGCGTTGACGGATGAATGTGGCATAAGCGTTCGCTAATTTGTTCTTAACATCGGGGGGAGGAGGAGGCGTTGACGGATGAATGTGGCATAAGCGTTCGCTAAGTTGTTCCGAACATCGGGGGGAGGAGGAGGCGTTGACGGATGAACGTGGTATGAGCGCTCGCTGATTTGTTCCGAACATCGGGGGGAGGAGGAGGCGTTGACGGATGAACGTGGTATGAGCGTTCGCTGATTTGTTCCGAACATTGGGGGGAGGAGGAGGCGTTGACGGATGAATGTGGCACTTGTGTTCGCTAACTTGTTCCGATGCCTGCATCGGTACCTCTTCTGGTTCCCCCACGGTCGATCCGCGCGGCTGCGGCGGGAGCCCGCGCCGCGAGAGAGAGAGAGAGGGCCATCGCGGCACGAGGCAGCCGCACACTGCGCACGTGTCCGTTGTGCGACGCTTCGGCACTGGGCGGGCGGGGGGGGAGGAGGAGGAGGAGGAGGAGGAGGAGGAGGAGGAGGAGGAGGAGGAGGAGGAGGAGGAGGAGGAGGAGGAGGAGGAGGAGGGAGGAGGAGGAGGAGGGGTCTGGCTCTGGACCTCTGCTTGGTGCGACTGGTTGCAACGGAGCGTCCTGTGGAGGAGACTGCACCTGCTGCAAGCAGGCGCCCCCAAGCCGCCAAGATCTACTCAGGGGGGGGAGGGGTTGCGAGGGCCCGCGCCGATCGGCGAAACAATGCATAAGAAAACGATAACACTCCTTCCCCCCGACCACCCCTCCGCAGGACTCGTCACGACACGAAACAGCCGTGCATCTCTTCCCCCCCACCCTGGGGAAGCCAAAAAGGTACCAATATCCCTACTCCGCAGACCTCTCCCAGGGTGCGCTCTGACTAGGATTTCGAAGCGAATCCAGCGGTGGCGACGAGGGCCTCCCTGGAGGCCCACAAAGGGGAAAACGAGGCAAGGGTAGCGGTATGGGTACCTTTGCCTCCTCTGACACCCCAGCCCCCCTCGGAGGTGGATCGGCAAGCCTGGTGAGGCGCGCTCTGCCACGCACGGTTTTTCTCCTCGAGAGGGCGGACAACAGCGGAGGAGCGAGTGGACATATCTGACGGCGCCGCGCGCCAGGGGGGGGCGCGAGGAAGGCGGCCATATAAGAACGCGGGGAGCTTACAAGAAGGCAGTTGGCTGCTCGTTCTTGGGAACTTCCTGGAGCCACTCGCTCAACTCGTGCGTCGAAGCTGCGTCGAACGTCCGTCGACTCGAGTCGAAGCTGAGTCGAACTTGAGTCGAACTTGAGTCGAACCTGAGTCGAACCTGAGTCGAACCTGAGTCGAACTGGAGTCGAACTGGAGTCGAACTGATCCATCAGGTGGGCCCCAGAAAGGTCCCCAAAGCGAGCATCGAGGGGGGGGGACGCGAGGAAGGCGGTCCTCTAAGAACGCGGGGAGCTTGCAAGAAGGCATGGGCCTTCTTGAGAGCGCCCAGGTGTGTCGACGAAGTCTCCTTCGAAACCTGGAGGGCTTCAAAGGCGCCCCTGCCCTTTTTGGAAGCTCCCCCTCCGTCTTCGATGTCCGCACCCCTCACGTCACCACCCCTGTGCGCGGCGCCTTACATATTAGGCCCCCTGAGGGTGGCCAAGATATTATGCTCCCTCGGCGCGAAGGCACCGACCCCTGAAAAGGCAAGCATCGGCATTTCGTGGTGCTGCGCGCCACCGCAGTGCCCGCGTCTTGGACGGCGGCACGGCGTGGCGTGCTGGTGTGCCGCTGGTACTTCGCACGGACTACTACTACAGCCCGAGTTCGGCAACGCAAATGCTCGCCTCTCAAAGGCAGCCGGAGGCAGGGGAGGGGCGTGGAGGCGGAGGGGAAGGGCGGGGGCGGCAGGGGCGGGGGCAGCCAGCCCGCCTCCCCCAGGCCAGCGGCTGAAAGCAAAACACAAACGACGCCTGCTGGAAATGGCCGCCGCGGCCCGAGAGAGGGGGCATGGGGCAGTTGACAGTGAGGCAAGTGCTCTCGACCTCAGGGGCACTTCCCCCCCGGGCCCTCACCGCTTGTTCTGGGGAGACTCGGGCTCCTGCTGCTTCGCGCTCGCCTCCCTCAGCACCTCCACGACGTGGCTGTTCAGCGTGCCCTCGGCGTGGTCCAGGGCCCTCTGCCCGTTCTCGTCCTGCCGGTGGATCTGGGCGCCGGCGTTGACCAGCACCTGCACGCACTGGAGCTGCTGGTGCATGGCCGCCCACATCAGCGCCGTCTCCCCGCGCTTCGTGTGGATCTCGATGTCGCACTTCCGCTCGATGAGCGACTCCAAGAGCACCTGGTTGCCCGCCTGCACCGCCCCGAAGACGGCGGTCATCCCCTCGACGTCCTGGTGATCCACCTTGGCGCCGTGCCCGATGAGCACCTTTAGAAAAGGAAAAAACTGCATAAGCAGAAACTTTTGGCGCTCCGCGGGGACTTCTTGGATCCGCGCCGGACTCCCCTCCCTGGCGCGCGGAGCGCGCCAAGGGGGCGGCGCCGGAGGCGCCGCCGGGGGGGGGGGGCCCGGCGCGGATCCGAGAGATCCGCGCGGAGCGCCAAGAGTTTCTGCGGATGGCGTGTTTCTCTTCCCCTGAGGCCATACCCGCCCGCGCCCTGTCTCCCCAAGTAGGGCTACTCGCGCCCCGTTTAGCCCTTGACCGGAAGGGGCCCGCTCCCGACCCGCAGACCAGAAAAACAAAAAAAAAAAAATGCTTCTCTTCCCCGAGCCTTGCAGATCTCCTCGCGGCCGAACTGGGCGGCGAGGAGGAGGGCCGTCTTCCCGGTCTTGGACGCCAGGTCGACCTTCGCCTCGGCGACCTCCACCAGGCCCCGCACCGTCTGCAGGTGCCCCTCCGCGGCGGCCCACATCAGCGCGGTCTGGTGCTCGTTGTCGAGCTGGTTCACCTTGGCCCCCTCCTCGATGAGGAACTCGCACACGCTCCTGGCTTCGTGGGCCCTGGGAGCGACGGGGCCCTTTTTGTTGCCGGTTCCGTTCTGCCGTTTTCTTGTTGCCCATTCCCTTGTGCCGTTTTTGTTATACCGGTTCCGTCGCCGTTGTTTGACCGGTTCCGGCTCCAGTTCCAATCCTGGAGCCGTGTTTTTGCCGTTTCCGGTCGCCGTTTTTGTTGCCGTTTCCTTTTTCAAGGAGCATTGGTTTGGAAACGTTGAACAAACGGCCCTGCCGTTTCCGGGGCCCACAACGGCTCCTGGAGGGACAAGAGCCGGCATGAACAGACAACAGGGGCCCGACCGCAAGAGACCTTCCACGGGGAGCCCAACCCTGAGGCCCAAAGGACGTCCATCGGTCTCTGGCGTGGGAGCGCCACGCTCTTCACAGCAGAACCATCGAAACCCAAGAAACCCAGGGCACCCTGGAGGCGAGCAGGGTGTTTCTTGGCATGGGCCCCCACTGCAGACTTTCGGAGGTCCGCGCGGATTCCTTGGATCTGCGCTGGAACCCCTTTTCCCTGCAGCGCGCAGAGCGCGCCAAGGGCGGCGTGGGAGCCGCGCAAGGGGGGCCGAGCGCCGATCCAAGAAATCCGCGCGGAGGGCATACAATTTCTGTTGATGCCGGATTTTCTTCTTCGAGCTCCAGTGGCCGTTCGCCGCCGCCTTCATCAGGGCGGTCTCGCCCTTCTCGGGCGGGCGGTCGCGGGGGGGTGACCGGAGGGGGGGGGTGAAGAGAAGGGCCCCCGCTGGCTCACAAAGGAGCCCCCGCTCTTGAGGGCCCCCGCTTTTGAGGGCCCCCGCGGTGACCGGAAGGGGCCTGTGAGGGCCCCCGCTGGCTCCAAAAGGAGCCCTACTAGAGGGCCCTTCCCTCCACTTGAACGAAGGATTGCAAAAAAACAAGGGTTTTTTTGCAATCCTTCGACCAAGGGTTTTTTACAATCCTAGGGTTTTTTTTGCCATCCTTCGTTTTTGTTGCAATCCTTCGTTTTTGTTGCAATCCTTCCCCCAAGTCGGGCCCCCCCCCGCCCACGACCGCCCGCCCGACCTTCTCGGTGCAGAAGTCTGCCGGCATCCCGTACTCCGGCTCCTTCACGAGCATCTCGCAGATGTCCTCGTGACCTCGGGGCGGCCCGCGCACGGGGGCGCGACGCGCGGTGGGGGGGGGGTACAGCCGGACCTGGGGCAGAAGAGCATCCTTCGACAACACGAGACCCTGCGCCGGCCCAAGCACCCCGAGCCACGAGATCACCCGAGGGTGCCCCAGCCCCAGGATGCACGAGAGCGCGCGGCAGACACGAAGAGCAGCAGGGGACCCTCCCCGAACCGACCTCGCTCGTCTGCCTCGGTCCGACTGGCAATCGCCTTCCATCAGGGATCTTCTGACCCGGGTCAATCCAGACCCTGGTCAGCAGGAAACCAAACACTGCAATGCAGAAAGAAACATAAAACTGCAGCGCAGGTCTTCGCAATCCCAGGTCAACCAACATGCGCGGCCGCCTCGCGGCCAAGAGCGGCTCGCTGACTCGGGTCAGCCAGGGGGGGTCTTCGCAGGATCCTGCAGGATCCGGTGCCCTGGCCGACCCCCGTTTGCATTGACCCCCGTCTGTTGAGCCCCGAGCTCCGCCAGTGGGGGTGCCCCCGCTATCCCCGAGTCGATGACGGGGCCCCTGCTATCCAAGCAGGTGGGGCGAGGAGGAGGAGGAGGAGGAGGAGGAGGAGAAGGGAGAGGGAGAGGGGGAGGAGGACAAACTAGGTGCGCTCGCGTCATATCTGACGTCCTACCCCTCCCTCCCATCCCTTACCATGGCGCTGATTTTCTCTATCCGCGGACGCGTGTCGTAGCGGACCTGTGGCTCCGCGCGCGCGTGCGTAGTGGGTGGTGGTGCACGTGCGTGCGTGCGTGCGTGTGTGCGTAGTTGTCGTGGTGGTGGTGGTGGTGGTGGTGGTGGTGGTGGTGGGTGGTGGTGGTGGTGGTGGTGGTGGTGGTGGTGTGTGGTGGTGGTGGTGGTGGTTGGTGGTGGTGGTGGTGGTGGTGCTGGTGGTGGTGGTGGTGGTGGTGGTGGTGGTGGTGGTGGTGGTGGTGGTGGTGGTGGTTGGTGGTGGTGGTGGTGGTGGTGGTGGTGGTGGTGGTGGTGGTGGTGTGGTGGTGGTGGTGGTGGTGGTGGTGGTGGTGGTGGTGGTGGTGGTGGTGTGGTGGTGGTGGTGGTGGTGGTGGTGGTGGTGGTGGTGGTGGTGGTGGTGGTGGTGGTGGTGGTGGTGGTGGTGGTGGTGGTGGTGGTGCGGCGCGGTGGTGGCGGGCGGATGGGCGCGCGAGAAAAGGCCCGCGCTGGGGCGAGAACGCCATCCTGAACGACGGAGGCCAAACACCGATCCGAAAATGAGGCCCACGCTGCAGCGGGAGCACGATTCGGAACGATTCGGGAGCAGAAATGAGGCCGGCGCCTCAACGAGAGCAGCATTTTGGGAAAAAATGACGCCAGCGCCTCAGCGAGAGTCGTTTCCCGGGATTTCCCGGGAATCCTGTGTAAAAAAACAGTACGCGGAGGGTGCGCGGCCATCACCCGGACGCCATCAGGGGAAGAGGGAGAGTATTTTCATATTGAGTAATTGTGGAGGAGGAGGAGGAGGAGGAGGAGGAGGAGGAGGAGGGAAGGAGGGAGGAGGAGGAGGAGGAGGAGGAGGAGGAGAGGGAGAGGGTGCCCGTTTGCATCGACCCCCGTCCCGAGGCTCCCGATATTCCAAGAGGGCGGGGGGGGGGGGGGGCCCCGGCTCCTCCAGGGGCGCGGAGGCCCCGCGGGGCCTCCGAGAGGCCGCCGCGCCCTCCGAGTCGGAGGGCGCGCCCTGCAGGCCAGGGGGGGAGGCTCCTGCAGCGCCCCCACCCCTGCGCCCCTGGCGACCCTGAATAGCGTCGGCGAGGGCCCCTGGCGACCCTGAATAGCGTCGGCGAGGGCCCCTGGCGACCCTAAATAGCGTCGGCGAGCGCCCTGGCGACCCTAAATAGCGTCGGCGAGCGCTGCGGGGCTCGACTGGGGACGGCGCCTCCCGCTGCCTCGCTTGCCTCCCGCAGCGCCCCGCGTTCTCGTCCCCGCTGCTGCGGGACGGAGTCGGAACGGTCGGGAGCGGCCCAGAGGGGGGGGGGGTCCAAGAGGAGGGGTGCAAATCAGGACCAGCGGCACGTGCGCGGCCCAGCGCGGGGGGAGCCAGGGACGCAAGGAAGCAAGAAGAGGCGCCATGGAATCTGGGGAAATCTCATGGCCCCCGCCATGATATCCACCCCCCCTACTCATCACCCCCCTCTTTGCCGCCCCCGAAACGAGGGCGGCACCGTGAGCGAGGTCGCCTGGGCACCGCGCAGCTCCCGCCCGGGCCCCCGAGCCTGCTCGGAAGCAGCCGCCCCGCCCTCTCGGAGGAGGCCCGCCCTCCTCCTGAGCATCTTCTCGGGGTGGAGGGCTCCGGGTGAGATCAGCGTGGGCTTCTGCACCTCGAAAAGATCAGTCCGTCGCTTGCATCGAATGTTCCAGATCCCCGCGAAGACTCCTCGAAACGGCATTTCAGAGCTCACCCTTCGGCCTCCACCCGAAGAACATGCTCGGTCCTCGCCCCCACCCCGTCTCCCCCCGCGGCGCGCCGCCGAGGCCTTGCAGCGCGGCCCACATGAGCACGTTCCAGCCGTCGTCGTCCTTGAGGTCCAGGGACGCGCCCTCGTCGAGCAGCAGCTTCACGATGTCGGCCTCGCCCTGCTCGGCGGCCTTCATCAGGGCGGTGACGCCCTCGTCGTCCTTCGTGTCCAGCACGCGCCGCCGCTCGTTGGCGATGGTCTTCACGGCGTCGGTCTGCCCGCTCAGGGGGCCGTGGGTCTTCTTCCTCTGCATCACCTGCGCCTCTATCAGGTACTGTATCGCCTCCACGTGCCCCTCCTTGCAAGCCTTTCGGGGACGCGCCGAGCAGGTCAGCACCAGCCTGGGTCGGCCCGGGCCCCTGGCGCGAAGCGCGCGCACAGTAGCTCCCAAGCCCGGGTCAGCGGAGGGCGGAAGGGAACATCGGCCCCACGTGGCTCCCAAACCCGGGTCAGCCAGAGGGGGTTGGCTGACCCCCGTCAGCGCTGACCCCCGCCGCGTGAGCCCCGGGCCTTCATCAGCGCCGTCTCCCCGGAGTCGTCCTTGGCCGCAATCCGCGCGCCCTTCTCCACCAGGAACTTCACGACGTGGACGTACCCGCCCTGCGCCGCGTGCATCAGGGCGCTCACGCCCTCTGGGTCCTTCTGGTCCACCTTGACCTTCGGCTCCTCCAGCGCGCGGGCGCAGTTCTCCACCTGGCCCGCCTTCGCTGCCTCGATGAGCGGGTTCACCGAGACGGTGTTCGACTTGCCCTGGTTGCTCTTGAGCGCGGCGAGCAGATTGCTCGTCATGCCGATCACAGAGGTGAGGCGCCCCCGGGGGCCGCCCAACGCACCACGCAGCCTGAGCTGCAAGGCTTGGGCCAAGCCGACATGGGCAACACGCCTGTCCCAGAGCAGGCCGGTGCCAACTCCCCCTCCCGCCCCTGGCCACGAGACTCCCCCAGAGAGTGCCGAGGCCAACCCGCGGTGCGTTCTGAACGCAATTCGGAGGCGCATCCGACCGTGGCGACGAGGACCCCCCCCCCGAAGATAGCAAAGGAAACACTCGAAAACATAGATCACCGATCCTCGATGATGCATTAAGGTCGGCATGTCATCCCACGGACGGAAGTGGGAAGAAACATAAACAATCGAGAAAACAAACCAAACGAATCAAAAACAGACAAAAAAGCCCGGAACATGATCGCCAGACTATGGTGTTGTTATTCTTGAAAGCTCCTCATGTAGAGTTACATGCCTGACTTCATGATGTATCCTCCCTCCCGGATGTTGGCAGGAAAACAAGACTAGTGAACAGCTGAGGAAACATAGTCATCAAAAGAGCCAGACACATCATCACCTGACTATCCTCTTTTTTACTGCTCTTGACTGTTCCTCCTGTAGGGTGGCCTGCCCGACGTGATGATAGATCCTCCCCCCGCACCCTTCCTGCTGGCTGGGGAGGTGGGAAGATTGAGCAGGGACCGACCGTCCCGGCATTCCCATAGTCCTGCCACGAAATGTTCTTAGAACCTAAACATGTTCTAAGAACAAAAACAATGTTCTTAGGACAGAAGCCCGATGTGATAAAAGAAAGGCAGACTCCGCCAGAACTGTTCTAAGAACACGTCGTGGAAACCACAAAAAAGGTTCTTGGAGCATTGCTTGGTAGGGCTATAGGCGAGCCAGGACGCTTCGCCACTGCTCGAGAGGAGGCGCGCCGGGGGGCGGCCAGCGGGCCGCCGGCCTCGACGAGTATGGCCATCGACGAGCCGAGCAGGTCCTGCTGCTTCTCCACCTCACGTGGCGGCAACAGGGGCCGCGCCGCGCCGCCCCCCCCCCCCTCCTCATCCTCCTCCTCCTCCTCCTCCTCCTCCTCCTCCTCTCCTCCTCCTCCCCCTTCCTCCTCCTTCCTCCTCCTCCTCCTCCTCCTCCTCCTCCTCCTCCTCCTCCTCCCTCCTCCTCCTCCTCCTCCTCCTCCTCCTCCTCCTCCCTTCTCCTCCTCCTCCTCCTCCTCCTCCTCCTCCTCCTCCTCCGCCCTGAGCAGGTGAGCTGGGACGCACAGAGGCACACGAATGCTGTACGTCGTCCTTGTAGGCGCGCGGCCGACCCGAACACGTAGGTATACCCATCTTGCAGTACATATCGCTTCCCGAGCGGTGTGGCCGCGCCCGCCACGACGCACATGCTGTAAGATTCCTCGGTGCGCGCGTCGCCCCTGGGGGAGCGACGCACATATACTATAAGTGTGCTCGGGTGACGCCGATGAGCGATTTCTTATTCGGCGTTTCGACAGTGGGCGGGAGGGGGGGGGAGGGGAGGGGGTCTGGCTCCGGACCTCTAGTTGATGCGACTGTCTGCAGCAGAGCGTCCTGTGAGGGAGGCTCCACCTGCTCGAAACAGGCGCCAAAACCAGCCAAGACCTACTTCACGGGGGGGGAGGAGGGGGGAGAGGGCCCGCGCCGATCGGCAAAACAATGAATCAAAAAACGATCACAAACCATGTGTTTCGTTTTCGTTGTATTTTCGTTGTCCTTCGTTCTGTCTTCAAGCCACCTTTGCTGCAAAACGGACTCGAAACGTAAGCGGCACACGAAATCGCAAAAGCACCGCTTGGGTCGACCCATGGGCGGCAACCCTTCCCCATGGGGCTACGGTCGGGTACTTACTTCTGCTTAGCGTGACTCGGCGGCGGCCCGGCGACGCGCGATGCCATGCGAATCGACAGCCTCGCCATCGCTCGGACGTCCATTTCCCGTGCATTTTTCGGTTCCGTGCGTGTTTTTGTTGCTCGATGGTCCAGGATGGTCCTCGATGGTCCTCGCCGAGAAAAAAATGCACACGTCCGAGCGATGCCAAGCAGCCCTGTCGCTCCGCTCCGCGGGGCAGGATGCTTCGAGATGCACGGGCCGTTCACGCCGGGGGACCAGGAGATAGTTGGCGAGTGGCGCCAAAGCGTGGTGGCGAAGAACTGGCGGCGTGGCATGCTCAGCAGGTGTTCCGGACCGTCAGACCGCCGAGCCAGTTGCGGCGTGCCCTGCAGGAAACCCGCGTCTGGTCGGCAGCAGGCCACATGCCTCCTCATGGAAGTAAAAAGAATCATCATCATCATCATCATCATCATCATCATCATCATCATCATCAGCAGCAGCAGCAGCAGCATCATCAGCATCATCAGCATCATCAGCATCATCAGCATCAGCACCAGCATCATCATCATCATCATCATCATCATCATCAGCATCATCATCATCATCATCATCATCATCATCATCATCATCATCATCATCATCACCATCGTCCTCATCATAATGAGCAGCAGCATCAAAATCACCACCAGCACCATCATCATCATCATCATCATCATCATCATCATCATCATCATCTTCAGCATACTCATCATCTCAATCAGCATCAGCATCAGCATAATCATCAAGAACAGCATCAACATCATCATCAGCACCATCATCATCACCAGCATCATCAGCATTAGCATCGTCATCATCATCATCACCACCATCATGATCAGCATCAGCAGCATCAGCATCATCACTATCAGCATTAGCATCAGCATCAGCATCAGCATCAGCATCAGCATCAGCATCATCATTTTCATCATCATCAGCAGCATCCCCATCATCATCAGCAGCATCACTATCATTATCAGCAGCATCAGCGTAAGCATCATCATGATCAGCTGCAGCATCATAATCGTCAGCATCATCATCACCATCAGCATAGCATTATCATCATCACCAGCATCATCATCAGCATCAGCATCATCAGCATCAACATAATCATCACAAGCATCAGCATCCTCATCAGAAAAAGGAGCACCATCATCATCACCATCATCATCTTCATCTTCCTGAGCATCAGCATCAGCATCATCATCAAGAACAGCATCACCAACATAAACAGAATCAGCATTATAATCATCATCATCACCATCGCCAGCAGCATCAGCATCATCATCATCTTCATCAGCATCAACATCAGCATCATCATCCAGAACAGCAGCATCAGCAGCATCAGCAGCAGAATCGGCATCAGCAGCAGCATCATCATCTTCAGCAGCATCAGCATCAGCATCAGCATCAGCATCATCATCATCATCATCATCATCATCATCATCATCATCATCATCATCAAGAACAGCATCAACGTCATCATCAGCATCATCATTTGCATCATCATCAACAGCATCATAATCATCATCATCATCATCATCATCATCATCAGCATCAGCATCAGCATCAGCATCAGCATCATCAGCCGCGTCATCACCATCATCATCTGCATCATCATCATCATCATCATCATCATCATCATCATCATCATCTTCATCATCATGAGCAGCATCAGCATCAGCATCAGCGTCAGCATCATCATCATCATCATCAGCAGAACCATCATCATCCTCACGATCATCATCATCACCATCATCATCAGCATCATCATATTCATCATCAGCGTCAGCATCATCACCATTATCATGATCAGCAGCATCAGCGTCATCAGCATCATCGTCATCAGCATCATCATATTACTCATAGTATACATAGGATTGTTATTCTTGTAGCTGTAACCCATATTATGATAGTTTATGTTCAGCAGAAGCATCACCATTACCATCATCAGCATCAACATCATCATCATCATCATCATCATCATCATCATCAGCTGCAGCATCACAATCATCACCATCATCATCATCAACATCAGCATCAGCAATGGCATCAGCTCTGCAACCGTCATCATCACCACCACCACCATCATCATCGTCATCATCATTATCATCTTCTTCATCTCCATCACAAGCATCACCAGCAGCATAATCAGCAACATCATCGTCACCACCACCATCATCATGAGCACGATCATCAACAGCAGCAGCATCATGATCAACAGCATCTTCATCATCGTCATCAGCAGCAGCATCATCGGCACCATCAGAAGATAGCATCAAAATTATCAGCGGCAACAGCATCACCATCACCATCATCATCAGCATCATCACCATCATCCGCGTCATCACCATCATCCTCATCATCATCATTATCATAAGCATCATCAGCATCATCACCATGATCAGAATCATCATCATCATCATCATCATCATCATCATCATCATCATGAGCAGCATCAGCAACATTATCATCATAAGCATAATCATTCTCACCATCATAACCATCACCATCATCATCAGCAGCATCATCATGAGCAGCACAAGCATCAGCATCGACAGCATCATCATCAGCATGAGCATCATCAGCGGCATCATCATCATAGTCATCATCATCATCATCATCATCATCATCAACATCGTCATCATCACCACCATCACCATCAGCATCACCAGCATCAGCATCATCATGAGCATCACCATGAGCATCACAAACATCAGCATCGTGAGCATCATCATCAGCATGAGCATCATCATCATCATCATCAGCATCATCATCATCATCATCAGATCATCGTATCCCCATCTCCTTCCCCCTCCACTCTGCAGATCGTCCTCCCTGCCACTTTCTCCTGGCTCGGGCGGCCGCCGACGACGACGGCGGCGAGGGCGGCGGCGTCGGGGCATGCTGAGCTCTCTGCCAGCTCCGAGTCAGGAACATCTCCGGCGCCGTCCTGCGGAGGAGCGCGGGTCCCGCCGGCGCTCGATGGGGCGAGCACGCCGAGGAGAGGGACGAGGAAGAAGGCCGAGGCGAGGGGGGCGGACTGGGAGGGAGAGGACGACGACGAGGCGGCGGGAGAGAACCATGAGAGGGAAGAGCGATGATCGGGAAAGGGAGGAGAGAGACAGAGAGAGAGAGAGAGAGAAACACACCAAACACAAATAAGAAAGAGAGAGAGAGAGGGAGAGGGGCCCCGCATAGAGCCAACTTGGGATGGGGGCGGGGGCGAAAGCTGCTAAATCGATCCGTCAAGTTTTTCTTCGGGAGGGCTGCAGCTGCACCCAGCGCTCCTCGCGACTGGCAGAGCTGCTGCGGTATTTCGTCGCCGAGGCCCAGCGGCGTCTTCCGCACGGTTGCCGTGCACGTCTTCGCTCGCGCTCGTGCCCTGCCTGGCCCACGATCTGCCCGTGCGCCGTCTGGGCGCGGCGGCCGTGTGCGCGGAGGAGGAGGAGGAGGAGGAGGAGGCGGAGGAGGGGGAGGAGGACGAGGAGGAGGAGGAGGAGGAGGGAGGAGGAGGAAGAGGAGAGGAGGAGGAGGAGGAGGAGGAGAGGAGAAGGAGGAGGGGAGGAGGGGAGGGGGAGGAGGAGGAGGAGGAGGAGGAGGAGGACGCAGGCGGAGGAGGAGGAGGCAGGCGGTCTACGCTGGATCCCGGGCGGGGAGCGCACCCTGGCCTGGAGGGGCGGGCGGACCTCGAGAGCCCAGCGGGACCGAGGGCGGGGGTCAGGGCAGAGGCCGCGGGCGCCTCGGCAGCGGCGCGGGGGGCTCCGTCCCTCGGGCGTGCTGCCGGGGCACTCAGGAGGCGAAAGCTCATCCTCTCCCTCCTCCTCTTCCTCCTCCTCCTCCTCCTCCTCCTCCTCCTCCTCCTCCTCTTCCTCCTCCTCCTCCTCCTCCTCCTCGGGCGCGCAAACGGGGCCCCCGACGAAACAGGAGACTCCTTCCGAAGGCGACCATGGCCCCGGGCATGAAGAGGACACGGGGACCGATAGTCAGGACACGGGGGTATTACCCAGACCCAGCTGTACGGCCCAGCACTTGGAGAAGGGGACGCCGCACAACAAGAAGTCTGACTTCTATTTGGTGAACCCCACGGGGGTGGCCCGCATGTCCCTCATCTCTGTCCAGAGTCGCACGATCCGCTGAGGCGGGTGCTTCTTAGATCCGCGCTGAGATGCAAGCTGGCCCATCTCCTCATTTCTGAGGTTGCACAAACCTTGAAACAAACACGTTCCGACTACCTCCTCCACCTCTCCTCATCCATCATCTTCAAACCTTTCGCCTCCCCCTTCCCCTAGCGCTGTACCCCCTCCTCCCTCTCCTGATCCCCTTCCTGTTCCGTTTTCCATTTCCTCATCCTTCCGTCTTTCATCCCTCCCTCCCTCCCTCCTTCCGTGCTCCCCGTTCCTCAAGCTCCTCAAGCTCCTCCTCCTCCTCCTCCTCCTCCTCCTCCTCCTCCTCCTCCTCCTCCCCACCATCATCGTCATCGCCATCATAATCGTAATCCTCCTCCTCCTCATCGTCATCGCCATCGTCATCGTCGTCATCATCAGCATCATCATCAGCATCATCATCATCATCATCAGCATCATCATCACCATCATCATCATCATCATTGTCATCATCATCATCAGCATCATCAAGAACAGCAACAGCATCACCGTCAGTATCAGCATCATCATCACCATCACCAGCATCATCAGCATCATCATCGTCATCACCACCATCATGATCATCATCAGCAGCATCAGCATCATCCACATCAGCATCAGCATCAGCATCATCAGCAGCATCCCCATCATCATAATCAGCATCATCATAATCATCAGCAGCATCCGCATCAGCACCAGCATCATCATCAGCATCAGCATCATCAGCGTCAGCATCATAATCAGCAGAATCAGCATCATCAGCGCCATCACCCTCATCATCAACATCATCAGCATGATCATTCGTAGACTTAGAGTTAGTAGTACTACAATGTTGCTGGTGTGATGGTTGGTAGTAGTACAAATCGAATAGATATAAATAGTAGTACGGTTAGTTGTGCTATGACGTTTCCCAGTAGTCTTAACATGTGCCTCAGCATTTACCATGTTATACATGACCCTTACAGGTATTACTACGCAGTCTAGCGTTAGCAACATTAGTACATTGATTAGCGTCTGTATAAATATTATCCGTACTGGTATTGTTCGTGCCAACCATCATCATGATCAGCCTCATCAGCCTCATCCACCTCATAATCATAACCATGATCATCATCAGCATCAGTATCTTCCTCCTCTTCCTCTTGCGTATCCTCCTCCTCCCCCGCCTCATCATAATCATCAGCATCATCATCAGCATCATCATCAGCATCATCATCACCATTATCATCATCATCATCATCACCATCATCATCATCATCATCATCAGCATCATCATCACCATCATCATCACCATCACCATCACCATCCCTATCTCCACCTCCACCTCCACCACCACCACCATCACACACCAGGGGGTCAAATCCGTTCGGCCTTCCCTCTACAAGGTCCCTCGACAAGATCCCTGATTATGACCTGGTGGCCTGATCCATCTGCGCGCCGGGGGGGAAGAGGAATGAAGATGAGGAGTAAGAAGGAGGAGGAGGAGGAGGAGGAGGATGGGAAGGAAGGACAAAGGGAAGAACGAGGGAAGCGAGGGAGGGAAGACTGAGGGGAAGCGGAGGAAGGGAGGAGCAGGGGGGGGGGGGGGGGGGGGGGGGCAGAAAGCCCGAGACGGGCCCAGAGCGCCCCAAGAGCCGAAAATGCTCTCGCCCAGCGCCCAGAAACTTCCAAAACCAAGCTGTCCTGCGAAATGGCACAGACAACCTCAAGCAGCGATAACGACGAACCAGCAAACAACAAAAACCCTCCGCCCTCGAACCTCCAGGGGGGGGGGCGGGGCGGGGCGGGCGGGGGCCAGCGGCGGGGGGGGAGGGGGGGGGGGCGGGGCGCTCCCTCGACAGGGGCCCGATGCCAAGGCGCAGCGTGCCCGCCTGGTTGCCCTCCGGGCTGATGATCCGCGCGCTGAACTGCCGGGCGGGGGCCCTGCTCGAGTTATGAGGCTGCCTTCTGGTTCTCCTTCCCTCGGCCCGTCCTCCTCCTCCTCCTCCTCCTCCTCCTCCTCCTCCTCCTCCTCCTCCTCCTCCTCCTCCTCCTCCTCCTCCTCCTCCTCCTCCGGGTGGTCCCTCGGGGGCGCGCAAACATGGGTTAGCGATCCATTGGATTTGGCGCGCGGTCGCCAAATCCATGGATCGGGGGAGGCGCCCTCCCCAAAATGCGGCTGGTGCCGCCTCGAGCGGCGGCGGAAATCCGCGATCTCCCCATGGAAACGGGACCCGTCGATAATCCACGCCCCCTTGATCCATGTTTGCGATCGCCTGAGTCCCTGGGCAGCCATGCGGGACCGGGACGTGCTCGCGTCGTGGACAGAGGCCTCCCGGGGCCCCGACACGCGAAAGGCTTCCAGTTTCAGTAGACTTTCTTGGTGCTCGAGATGCCTGCTGGTGAGCCAGGCTAGGGTAGAGGCCCCCGAGAGGGCCCCGAGGAGGCCCCCAAGATGAGTCCAAGTGGCCCCCCGAGAAGCCCCCAAAAGGAACCTCCAGGCTGCGCGCTTGCTCCTATGCAGGGAGCGGACCCCCTGGAGCCAGAAGAACACCCCTCAAGAAAATGAGACCCTCCGTCGGCCAAAACAAACAGAATATCCAAGGGCACCCTCCTCAGGATGAACAAAAACATCCAACAAGCACGAAGAACACTAGGGTACCACCCTCCACGAACTGACCTCGATCGTATACATCGGTCCGACTGCAGCTGTTGCATCACAGCAAGAATGACACGAACACCGACTGTCAGCGCCTTCCTGAGGGGAGGGAGGAGGAAGATGAGGAGGAGGAGGAAGAGGCGGCGGATGAGGAGGAGTAGAGGGATAGGAGGAAACCCTGCAGCCGAACGCACTTCAACATCGGCATCATCCTCTCCCAACCTCACGAGAGTCTTACGGGCCGCTCGGCAGAAGTACGTGGAAACATGAAGTAGGACGGTGTATAAAGTATGTTGGGATCCAGGAGCCCTAGAAACTATATTCAATTAGTAGCCAGTAATAAAATAGGACTCCGACCGCCAAAACCAGTCACAACAGCCGACGGTCTGCTTGCGTCCATGCACTGCCGAAATCGGTGTCTAAAGAGACACATTGGCTTCCCAGCGTCACACGAAGGCAGTGACCGAGCATCGGAACAAGCATGCTCTGTAGTTTTATCCGAAAGGCACGCTGGCCAAATGGTGCTGAAGCAAAGCACGTATCGGGGAAACCTGGGTCAGTCAGGCTTTCCCGGATCCTGCAAGATCCTGCAAGATCCTGCACGCAAGCACGGTCAATGCATCCCTGGCTCTGCAAGATGCAAGATCTGGCGCTCTGACTGACCTCCGTGTGCATTGACCCCCGTCTCTTAAGCACCGAACGTAAACAGATCATCAATGATTTCTAGCATCAATGGGGAAACAGAGGGGAACAGCCCTCTTATGCCTCTCCCCTCACTGCCCAAATCCCCGAAGGCGTAAACTCCTTACAAAGTTGACCCCGGTTGAGCAGGCACTGACCGTCCCGGCACTCCCACAGGCCGACCACGACACGTTCTAAGAACCAAAGCATGCCCCAAGAACTACAACAAGAATATGAGAGCGTGCAGCCGATGTGGTAAAACAAGACGGCCTCAACCAGATGATGTTCTGAGAACACTTCGTGCAGATCACAAAACAACTCTTAGAACACTCCTTGGTGGGACTATAAGTAGGCCAAGAAGCTTCGCGTCCTGGCCAGTTGTTGATAGCCCGGGGGCTGGCAGGAGGGCCCCCAGCAGCCGAACCTTGCCAACAAAACCGTCCGTCGTGATTGTCCGCGCGAGGGGGTCTGGGGTCCAGAAAGCCGTCCAGGATCCATCCTGGGATGCGCTCTGGCCAGAATTCCCCCAGCCCTTGCCTTGCCATCGCTCGGACGTCCATTCCCCGTGCACGTTTCGGCATCGTGCGTGTTTTTTGTTCGCAAGATGGCCCAAAATGCTCCTCGGTGGTCCTTGCTGAGAAAAATGCGCACGTCCGAGCGATGCCAAGTTTAGATCCTGGGTAGTTGAACGAGTTCGCTCTTCCATCCCCTTCACTCCCCTTCTGCGAAGGGTTCACCCCTCTCCCCCAGGAGTGGACGGGCCGGGGGGGGTCGTGCGCGGTCAGGGCAGGCAAGATGGCCCAAGACGGCTTCGAGAGGGCCTCAGACAGCCGAAAATGGCCTTCGAGATGGCACGAGGCAGCTCAAGCTGCAGCTAGCCTCCGGTATGCATCCAAGAGGCCCCAAGACCGCCGACAGGCGGCTCGAAGTGAGCACGTCGCCTCCTAGAGGCGCCCCCGGGAGGCCGAAACCCTTTCAGAAAGCCGAAAGAACAAAATGGCGTGTGCCTTCTCGGCGTTTCGCTTCCGACGGGCTCTTGGCGCCTCCAGATGGCCCCAAGATGGCCCAATAGAGCCGAAAGTGCAGCCTGGGAGGGCTACAAGACGGCGCCAAGAGCGCCCAAGAGCGCCCCAATTGGCGACTTGAGGGCTCCATCGAAAGGGGTACGTTGATGATCGCCACCCCCCTTGTTTGATCGATGGGCTCCAAGATGGCCCCAACGTGACCCCCCAGAGGGCTCCAGAAGCGCCGCAAGAGGGCCCCAAGAGAGCCCCGAAAGTCTCGAAGATTACCCAAAGAGGGCCCACAGACTGTCCAAATAAGCTCCCCAAAGGCTCCCATATCGAAAGATCCGCGAAGGCATTTATGGCTGACTTCTGGGTCTCATTAGGCGGATCCCGCGGTTTGATGGCTGTCTCCCCAGGCCCCCCACCCGTATGTTACACTGCTTGTTCTTTCACTTCCCCGATAATTGCAGCTCGCCTGGGCGTCGTTTCTGGATGGGCTGGCGGGGATACCCGAAACGCCAAGAATCTTGAGGCGGATCCAGCCGTGTCCAGCCGTGGCAAAGAGGGCGCCCAAGGAGGCGCAAGAAGGGCCAAGACGTCCAAGACTTCAACCCAGACATGCGATGTCTTGAATGTTTCAATACAGGGCCCCCAGAAGTCCCGACCCTTTCCCTAAGGGGCCCGTTTTCACCCCGAATCTTTGTTTGACGGTCCCAGGGCCTGGCGAGGTCCCCCAGAGGCCCAAAACTGCCCCGAACCTCCCGTCGCCACTGTTTCACGACAAGGGCTGTCTGGGGGTCTCCCTTCTCGATCTTCGACCTCCAGAGCGCGTGCTCTCGCAGAGGCGGGCCCAAGGGCGGCCTGGTTGTCGACCTGCTGCAGCAGGCACTCCAGCAGCAGCCGCGCGGAGCCGATCAGCCGCTCTGGCTCTATCGGGTCCCAGAGTGGGTCCTCCGCGTGGGCGCGCGGAACACGTGGCACGCGCGCCCCGACTCTTGCACGAGGGAGCGGTGGCGCAGGGTGGTGGAGGGGGGCGGAGCCAGGGGGAGCGTGGGGGAGGATGGCGCGGAGCCAGCGGGGGGAGGGAGGGAGGGAGGGCCTGGGGGGAGGGGGGAGCGAACGAACGAGCCACGAGAACACAGGGCCCCCAGAGAGCTCTGGAGCGCAGCTTTGCAAGAGCGTGCATGCTCGACGCCAGTCCCGCCTCCGAGGGGCGAGGCGCGGGGAGCACGAGGAGCTCCGGCCCCTCCTGGAGCCCCGGGCCTGGCCGAGGTCGGGGCGCTTCCCGAGGCGACGGCCACGGCACCCCCCACGCGCCAGGAAAGGTGCCCGAGGGGAGGCACCGCAGAGGAGGGTTCGCCACCTCCGCCTGCGGAGCGGAGCGCAGCACGGGTGGGCTGGAGGCCTCCCGTGCTCGTGGTGGAAGTTGGCGTGTGGGGGCTACCCGCATGACTCAGTCCTCGATCCTCCCTCTTCCTCGATCCTCACTGGGAGGTGGCGAGCCCTCTTGTGGTGAGCCCCCTCGCACTGCCTGCCGTGGAGCTCGGCAGACATCTGGGCCAGCGCCCGTGTGCTCAGAGTGCGCAGAGGACGCAGCCAAAGGCGGGCCCCCAGCGGCCCCCCAAAGGGCCCAAATCGCCCGGACGCCTCTGGGAAGGGCTCGATGTTCACACCACCACGACGAGTGGCCTGCACAGGAGCTTGGTGTATAGACGCCCCAGCTGCCCAATCTGTGAGACGCTGGAGCGTCTATACACCGCACTCCTTCGCCGAACTCCGTGGCCCACTGGCCGACCAAACGAAGTGGTGTATACATGTCGAGCCCCTCTGAACCTCGAAACTCGAACTCAGGGAGCAGTCAGCAACGAATCTGAAAGTCGGGTCGGATCGAAGCGCGTCGAGTCGGGCCGCATCAGCACGGAGCCGGACCCGGCCCGGGTCGGCTGCGCTAGGGTGCACGTCAGCGGCATGCGAGCATCGGGCCGCCTCGGATCGTCGGAGCATCCGAATCGAATCGGATCGACCTGCCCGCATCGATGCCGCCTCGGGTCGATCGGATCGAAAGACGGGCACTGCGATGAGGAGCAGCAGCAGCCTGAGCAACGGCAGAAGCTGAAGCAGCAGCAGCCTGAGCAGCAGCAGCAGCTGGAGCAGCCAGCAGCGGCGGGAGCAGCCGCGGGAGCGAGGAGTGAGGAGCTGGAGATCTAAGGAGCAGAGAAGGAAGCTCGATGAGAAGGATCCTCGGGTCAGACGTGAGAGGGGGCAGGGACCAAATCAGCTCACGTAGCGAGCATTCCGAGGAAAGCACCCGGCGGCGGAGCCGAAAGCAGCTGCACGCGGCTGAGCTCGTATCCCCCCCCCTTCCCAATCACCCTCCTTCGTCCGACCCCAGGCCCCGGGCACTTGAGGAGCGGCAGAAGCACGACGGCGACGGCGACGGCGACGGCGACGGCGACGGCGACGGCGACGGCGGCGGCGGCGGCGGCGGCGACGGCGGCGGCGGCGACAACGACGACGACGACGACGACGACGACGACGACGAACACGACGACGACGACGACGACGACGACGACGACGCAACTCCTCCGCGTCGCCTGAGAAGAGATGGGGGGGCGGCATGCACCAGGCACGTGGGCGCTCGCGCGAAGGCCACGCGCTCAGTCAGCATCGAATCGATGAACCAGAGATCGACTCGGAATGCGCGCCGGATCGGGCCACAGCGGTACAGAGTCGGAACCGAGTCGGATCCACCAGCGCCAGCAACACCGCGCACTGGGCCGCATCGGATCGCCGCAATGCCGGAATCGACCCGGATCTGGCCGGCTGGGATCGACATCGAGCCGGACGGATCGGATCGAAACCCAGACATGCTATGTCTGGGCTTTTTCGAGACGGGGTCCTCGAAGTCCCGACCCTTTCCGAGGGTCATTATGTTCCTCCCGAATCGCTGTCTTGCCGTCGCTCGGACGTCCATTTCCCGTGCAGTGGCCGGTTTCGTGCGTGTCTTGTTTTGCTCGATGATCCAAGATAGATGCTCTTCGATGGTCCTCGCAAAAAAAAAAAAAAAAAAAAAAACGAGAGATGCCAAGTTGTGTTGACGGTCCTGGGGCCCAACTCGGAGGCGCGCAAACATGGATTAGCGATCCATGGATTCCCGCGCGGTCGCTAAATCCATGGATCGGGGGAGGTGCCCTCCCCAAGATGCGGCCGGCGCCGCCTCGCTCGGCGGCGGAAATCCGCGATCTCCCATGGAAACGGGACCCGTCGCTTAATCCACGCCCCCCTGATCCATGCCTGCGATCGCCTGATCCATGTTTGCGATCGCCCGACTTGAAGGGGGACGTTTTAGGTGGGGGCTGGCCCCTAGTGGGCCCTGGAAACGACAGGGCCGTTTTTTTACCGGTTCCATTTTGCTGTTTTTTGACGGTTCCGACTCCGTTTTTGTTACCGGTTCCGTCGCCGTTCTTTTACGGGTTCCCGCTCCGGTTCCAATCCTCGAGCCGTGTTTTCGGCTTTTTTGTTGCCGTTCCAATCCTGGAGCCGGTTTTTGTTGCCGTTTCCGGTCGCCGTGTTTTTGCCGCTTCCATTTTCAAGGTCTTTTTTTTGGAAACGGTGAAAAAACGGCCCTGCCGTTTCCGGGGCCCACTAAGGGCTGGCCTCAGGGGGGGGAAGCATCGAGCCTGCGTCGGCGATGCCCCGCCGGATCGATCGGCGAGGAGCCCCCAGCAGCAGGTCCGCCCGCTCCCGGGCGGGCGGATTCGGCGTTTCGACCTTGGGCGGAACGGGGGGAGGGGGGAGGGGGGTGGTGTCTGGCTCCAGACCTCTGATCCATGCTTGCGATCGCCTGATCCATGCTTGCGATCGCCCGACTTGCCATGAAGGGGGACGTTTTAGGTGGGGGCTGGCCTCGGGGGGGGGAGCATCGAGCCTGCGTCGGCGATGCCCCGCCGGATCCATCGGCGATGGGGCCCCCAGCAGCAGGCCCGCCCGCTCCCGGGCGGGCTGGTCGGGGATCTGTGAGCGACGAGGGGCCGATGCAAACCCTCCCTGGGCCCAATTCCCCCTCACGTTGCCCCTGGGGAGCGCTTTCGGATTCGGCGTCTCGACCTTGGGCGGAACGGGGGAGGGGTGGGGGGGGGGTCTGGCTCCAGACCTCTGATCCATGCTTGCGATCGCCTGACCAACGAGGACCCCCAGAGGCCGAAGACGGCCGAAACCCTCGCGCCATGACTTTCCGTGCACGCCCGCGGGCAGGTCTGCGAGCGGCCCCCCAGCGGAGAGTGGGCGGCTCCTCCTCCCGGGTGAGGTCCTCCAGCTGGAAGCCCTCCTCCCGCACCGCTCGCGCGGGCAGCGGTAGGACGGGGGTACGCTTTGGGTGACCCAAAAGGGGGTCCAGCTGAAAGGGGGTGGTGCAATAGATTTGGGGCGATTGTATTGCAAATGTACGGCGCCGGAGAATTGTATAGCATTGTATGCAAGTAATGGTTTGCGCGCGAGAACCCAGCAATACATCTGCGCCCCGGACCGTGTTGCACGACTCAAATGTATTGCAACACCACAAATCTATTGCACCAAATCTGTTGTACCACCCCCTTGTCGCTGGACCCCCTTTTGGGTCAACACGAGGTAGGACGACTCCCATGACACAGTGCTGGCGCGGCCGCAAGAGACCCTGGCAACAAGCCCAGCCCTGAAACCCGCGGGCGCGAGGTGCAAGTGGGGGGGGGGGGGGGGCAGCCCAGAGCACCCCGAACGCAGCAGCTCCTCCAACGGCCATGGGAAGACACCGCGCAGCGTGCGGAGCGAAGAAGCCCAGGGTACCCTGACGAAAAGCAGCCAGTTTCTTGAGGCGCGCCCCCACTGCAAAGCTGGCTCCGGTTAGGTTTTGCAGGATTTCCATGAGTAGCTTTTGCGGCCCTCGCTACTGCAGCCCGTGTGGAGCGTCAGGGACTCCGCGACATCTAGGAGATCCTGGAACGTACGGTAGAGGGAAACAATTGATGGGCACTCCCCCGCCCCCCAAAACTCAAAGCTGGCACGCGCGGGGAAGACTGCGGTGGGAGCGCAACAAATCCAACCCACTGCCAACATTGATCATGGAGAGGGACAGATGAATGTGGCCCGAGTGTTCGCTACAGGGCAGTTTCTAATACATCGGATTTTAAAATATTTGATGTTGAATACACACGTAAATTACTAATAAATCAATGCGTAAATTCATCATTGTGTTTTATACTAAACCCCTTTATTGGTAATACATGATCCGCACGCGGAGCATGTATTAAAACGGCACTGTAATTTCTCTTCCGAGGCATGTATCATTATCATTTTGGGGGGGGGGGATGGGAGGAGGGGGAGCGGACCCAGCAGCGCGATGAAAAGCAGGGCGGCGCAGACCTGAAGCCACTGAGCTACCTCAAGCAGCGCGCACGCGAGCGTAGCTGAAGCGTCCAGTCACATACACGGACTGCCCTGCGAGAGATGGCGCATGTAAATGGCCCCTCTCGCACTCACAATCCGTGCCCAACTTAGCTGCCCCGATACGCAACACGCAACACGTACCGTATCGATACGAAGCTCAACAAGTAGACTCAGAACGGAGGTCCGACGCGATACATTCGCCAAAACGTGGAGCCAGAACGCAACGTATTGACACGGACGTCTTGAACACGTGACGTGTTGCGTTTCAAAGCGGGCGTATCGAGGCAACTAAGGGGCCCAACGATGGTGGACGCACCGCGAGCTGTAGAACCTGCGGCGGCCCCAGACTCGGGTAAGGGGACACCAGGGCGCCAGAGGCCAGGGGAACGTGTCGGCATCGCTACTGCTCCCTGGCCAGGCCCATCCTGAACCCAGCAGAGGTGTATACGCCACGCCCTCCTGGCGTGGCCAGGAGGGCGTGTACACAGCTCCAGGGCCCAGGAGGGGCCCGGCCAGGGAGGAATGAATGTGTATAGATTCTGTCGCCTGACATAAAGGAAAAGCCAACTTGGTACCGATGCCACTATTCCCCGGACCTCTCCCGGGGTGCGTTCTGACCAGGATTTCGAGGCGAATCCAGCTGCGGCGACGAGGGCCTTCCAGGAGACCCCAAAAAGGGAAAACGAGGGAAGGGTAGCGGTATGGGTACCTTTTCCTGCTCTGCGATCTATGGTACCACCACCGCCAGCGCGCCTCCTCCACCTGCTCCAGCAGCTCCCGCAGCAGGAACAGGCGGTTCTCGAGCGTCTCGGGGGTCCACTCGTAGACCCTCGCGCCCTCCTGGGCTGGTGAAGCCAGGCATGCGGGGGCGTGCCACCTTCCCTCCCCCTCATACCGTGCCCCCCTCCCCCCCCCGACGACACGACGACGCCCACTCTCTTCCTCCTCCGCCCTCCTGCCCCGAAAGCCCTTCCCCCACCCAAGTTCCTGTCCCCTTCCGTTCCCTCTCCCGCTTCCCCCCGCGCCTCCACCCCACCCCAGATCTGTCCTTCTCCTGCGCCTCCCATATCCACCCGCTCCACCATCCAGCGGGCGTGCACCGTGAGCGCTCCATCGCAACACGCGGGCGTCCCAGCTCCCTTGAGAACAGTTGGCAAAGCTGCCCTGCCCCTCTCCCTCATCCAACCAGTTGCCTGACACCCCAAGATCCTTCCCTCCATCTCTTCCCCACCGTCCCCGCGTGTCCTCCGCATCCAATTTATCCACCATCTCCCTCTAGCTACCCTTCCCACCGCGCACCTCGCTTCCCCTCCCCTCCACTTACTCCTCCCTGTCCTCCTCCACTGCCCCCCCTCCACTCCTCCTCGTCCTCCTCCACTGCTCTCTCACCTCCCCCTCCCTCGCTCCCCGCTCCTCCCACCCATACATCCGACATCATGATTGTCGAATGACGTCAGCGCCGCGGTGCTTCTGGATCCCATCTGAGGGACCCGTTGTGTTTTATCCGAGTTATGTGATGGCCCTGAGGGCATGAACAGGGGCCCAAACTCAAAATTACCCTGCGACGTGCCCAACCCATTTGCATCAAGTGGCAAGAAAAACTGACCCAAATGGGTATGGATGACGATAACGCGGGAACCATCATTTGCTGCGCAGGCTGCGAAACGTGCGCGCGCGTTGCACGAGACCCGGAGAACAGCCACTGAAGGACGAGGAGTAAAGCCCCCAAGGATGGCGAGGTCCCGCTCTGACCTGCGCGGCGCCGCACTGCGCTGCCCCCCCCCCACCCCCTCCCGAGAAGCCAACGAGAGCGGCATCAACTCCGCGCCTCGCAAACCCGCGAAGATGGCGAGGCCCCGCCCCGTTCTGAGCTGCACAGCACCGCGCCGCGATGCACCCCCCTTTCAGCAGCCCTCGAAAGCGGCGGCGTGCTCGCAGGTCGCGGCGCTCGAAAGCGGGGGATGATGCGTGACACCTCGCAGCCCCCAAGGACGGCGAGGTCGTATCTGAGCCCGCGTAGCTCCCGACACTGTGCTCCCCCCCTTCCCCCACCTCACCCCCCCACGCCCCCAGCAGCCCCCGAACGTGGCGGCAATTCCACACTTCGCAGCCATCCAGGGATGACGAGGTCAAATCTGAGCCCCCGTAGCCCCCGATTATGCTGCCCCCCTTCCCCCCCCAGTAGCCGTCGAAGGCGGTGACAGGTTCACGATCCGCAGACACCCATGGATTACGAGGTCGAATATGAGCCTGTGTAGCTCCCGAAAATGCTGCCCCCCCCCCGCAGCCCTCGAACGCAGCGGGGACAGACTCACGCGTCGCAGCCCCCAGGGATGACGAGGTCTGATCTGGGTCCTCGCGGGCCCCGATGACGCTGCCCCCCGCCGCCCCCCCCCCCCGCAGCCCTCGAGAGCGGTGACAGACTCCAACTTCGCAGCCCCCCCCCCCGAGGGACGGCGAGGTCTAGTCTGAGCGCACGCAGCCCCCGACAGTGCTGCCTCCCCCCCCCCCCCAGCATCCGAACGCGGCTACCATGCAGGTAGGAGGCAGACTGACTAGCAGGCAGGAGGCCAGAAATTGGCGGGACAGAAGAGGAGGATGGCGCAGCGGAGGGAGGCGGCCGGAGGTCGCGACCGCCGCGCTCGATTCAGGACGAGAACCCAACGCAGGAGGGCTTGGGGGAAACACCTCACCCTGCGACGCACCCGGCCCATCTACAACGACTCACCCGACCAGTTGGTCAACGCTATATCTGCTGATGGCGTGACAAGCACCGACCGCTCTCATGAGAGCTACATGTGGGGGAGGGGCTCATGCGGACTCACGCGTTGCGGACTCACAGGACACCCATAGGAGGGCGAAGGCGGGACGGACGAAGGTAGGCCCTGGGCCCGCAGGGGAAAGGAGAGGGAACCAGGGGCCCTCGAAAGTGGCGACGGTTTCGCAGTTCGCAACCCGACAAGGATGGCGAGGTTTGATCTGAATATTCGGTGGGACGTCACTCCGCTGGACCCCACGGCAGCCCTCGCAAGTGGCCTCAGTTTCGCCGTTCGCAGCCCCACAAAACTGGCGAACTCTAAGGGACATCTGAAGTAGAGCGCCACTCCATTGGACCCCTCAGCAGCCCTCGACAGTGGCGACAGTGTCTCAGTTCGCAGCTCCACAGAGATGGTGAGGCTTGATCTGAATCTGCGGTAAGACGTCACTCCACTGGAACCACCAGCAGCATTCACAAACGGCGACGGCTTCGCAGTTCGCACCTCCAGGCATGGCGAGGTCTAACCTGAATCGACGGTAAGATGTCACTCCGCTGGAACCCCCAGCAGCCTCGAACGTGGCGGCAGTTTCACAGCTCACACCCCACAGGCATGGCGAGGTCAAATCTGACTCTGCGAGGAGACAGCACTCTGCTGGAACCCCCAGCAACCCTCGAAAGTGGCGACGGTTTCGCAGTTCGCACCCCCAGATGGGGTGGCAAGGTCTAATCTGAATCTACGGTAAGATGTCACTCCGCTGGATCCCCTTGCTGCCCTCGACAATGACGACAGTTTCGCAGTTCGCAACCCCCAGACATGGCGAGGTACTACCTGAATATGCCATATGCGGTAAGACATTGCCCCGCTGGAACTCCCAGCAGCCCTCGAAAGTGGCGACAGCTTCGCAGTTCGCACCACGCCCAGGCATGACGAGGTCAAAGCAGAATCTGCGGTAGGATGCCACTCCGCTGGACTCCCCAGCAGCCCTCGAAAGTGGCGACTGCTTCGCAACGTGCATTCTCCAGGCATGGCGAGGTCTGATCTGAATATACGGTAAGATGTCACTCCGCTGGATCCGCTCGCAGCCCTCGACAATGGCGACAGTTTCGCAGCTCGCAACCCCCAGACATGGCGAGGTACTACCTGAATATGCCATATGCGGTAAGACATTGCCCCGCTGGAACTCCCAGCAGCCCTCGAAAGTGGCGACAGCTTCGCAGTTCGCACCACGCCCAGGCATGACGAGGTCAAAGCAGAATCTGCGGTAGGATGCCACTCCGCTGGACTCCCCAGCAGCCCTCGAAAGTGGCGACTGCTTCGCAACGTGCATTCTCCAGGCATGGCGAGGTCTGATCTGAATATACGGTAAGATGTCACTCCGCTGGATCCGCTCGCAGCCCTCGACAATGGCGACAGTTTCGCAGCTCGCAACCCCCAGACATGGCGAGGTACTACCTGAATATGCGGTAAGACATAGCCTCGCTGGAACCCCCAGCAGCCCTCGCAAGTGGCGACAGTTTCGCAGTTCGCACCACACCCAGGCATGGTGGAGTCAAATCAGAATATGCGGTAAGATGCCACTCCGCTGGAACCCCTTGCAGCCCTCGAAAGTGGCGGCTGTTTCGCAATGCGCACACTTCAAGCATGGAGAGGTCTGATCTGAATATACGGTAAGGTGCCACTCCGCTGGACCCCCCCCACAGCCCTCGACAGTGGCGACCGTTTCGCAGATTGTACCCCCACGCATGGCGAGGTTAAGAGGACGGCGAGGTATCAGGCAGGCTGGCAGGCGGGTACGAGCCAGGTAAGAGGCAGTAGAGAGGAGGAGGAGGTGGAGGAGGAGGAACAGGAGGAGGAAGAGGAAGAGGAGGAGGAGGAGGAGCAGGAGGAGGAGGAGGAGGACGCGGAGGAGGAGGGAGGAGGAGGGAAGAGAAGAGGAGGGACGAAGGAAGGTGGCGACGGCACCGCTTCGAAAAATGCGATTCTGCCGAGGACGTAGTGGAGGGTGTTAGGAGGCAACTACTGAGACGTCTTCGCCGGAAGGATTAAGGAGGATGCAGCCCTATTGGGGGGCTGCTACGACGGATGAGGCCGCGGACTAAACGGGATTAGGCGGGATTAAGCCGGATTGAACAGGATTAAGCGGGATTTAAGCCGATTTAAACTGGATGTCGGACCAGGGCAAAGTCAGAATTTGACATCCTAGGAGTTGCATTCGAAAGGATGAAAGGGGAAAGAGGTCATTGATTATGCCGCACGCGCCAGGATAGCGAAACAAATGCTGCGGGCGGAGCGGGACGCTTGCTTGAGTCAGCTGAGCTGCTTCCTCAAAAAGTTCAGATCCAAGTTCGACAGGGCCGAAGGCTCATACAACCTGATCGACTTGATCCCTCTAAGTACAGACCTGCCAGCAATACAAAACTGAAAGGCTGCACGAAGAACTCGCGACGTGTAGCGCACAGGGACGCGACGCTGAGACAGAGGCTGCACCAGGCTCACCAGGCCCCTACGAGGCAGCCGCCTCCGGGCGGATGCCGGCCTGAAAGGAAGCCCCGAGGACGCTGCACAGCCCTGGAAGGCCTTCTCAGAATCTTCAGCGGAGGAAGAGCCGCATATGTAACGTGTGTTGCCGCCATCGGGGACACCCGTCCCACGGCGGCTGGACGGTATTGTTTCCCCGATGTGCCCGCGACGGTCAGGAGCCAACTCCTGAAGGGTCTTGGTGGGAAAGGTGTGTGGCTACCAAGCGCGATGAAAGGGCCTTAAGGCCAGATTGAGCACCATGCCGGACTGAGCTGGAGTAGGCCAGATGAGACCCCAGGAAGTATTGGCGCCGCTGCTGAGATTAACCTCCCACGGGTTGCAACCTGACGTCGGGGTAGAAGTCTGGGAATGGCTGTTTGGCGTGTCGCGTCGGCGGCCCCGGCGACACACTGCGCCCTGCGAGCGGATGGCGTATCGCTCTGCTCCGCGGGGCGGGAGGCCGGGAAAAGCTCGGGGCTTTGAGGCTTGGCGGCTGGGACGTGGTTGGCGCGTCGCGGCCAGAAGCGTGCGGGGCCAGAACCGGCGGCGCGACACGCGAAGCAAGAGCTCCCGATCGCAGATTTTCCAGCCGCCCCAGGACTACGTCGGGCCTGTCCCCCTACAGGGGGATTGTCGACGAAAAATCAAAACAATGCCCCCAGAAATAACCAACAAAGAATCCAAACATAGTCCGGGGACATGTTTTGAACACTTTTTGGCCATTTTGGGGCACTTTGAGGGTGTTTTTCTCCCGTCGGAAATTCCCCCGTAGGCTGTAGGGGGACAGGCACGACTGAACTCGGGAGCGGCCAAGAGGGGGGTGTCCAAGAGGGGGGGGGCGCAAATCATGACCGGGGGCATGTGCGCGGCCCAGCGGGGGGACCAGGGACGCAATGAAACAAGAAGGGGCGCCATGAAATCTGGGGCAATACCACGGCCCCCGCCATGATTTCCCCCCCTAGTCATCACCCCCCTCTTTGCCGCCCCCGATGAACCTGGGAAGCTGGTCGAGGGCTGCTAAAACCGTGGCTGCAAAAACGGCCCTCCCGGAAGGAACAAACAACTTCCCGGAAGGAAGCGCGGCACGCGAAACAGTCAACGGGCTTCTTCCCGGAAGGACGAAGACAACTTCCCGGAGGTCGATTTTAGCAGCCACGGATTTAGCAGCCCTTGCCCGGCTTCCGATATTAACCCCCGGCTATCTTGGAGGGCCTGGGGGGGTCTGGGGACGATGTTTTGGAGGGTTCTCCCACGGGGGAGGTCTGAAATGGCTTGTCTTGGAGGGTCCAGACCCCCTCCCTTTTATCACGAAATCCCGATTAACCCCCGGACAGGCGTCCACAACGGCGGCAAGGAAACACGTCATACGACCCTGCTCCGCCGCCAGGGCCTGGCGGGGCCTGCACTCCTGCAGCCGGGGAGCCCGCTGCGCGCGGCCACCGGCGCCGGGGAGCCCAAGGAGAGCGTGCTGTTAAGTCGGGCCTGTCCCCCTACAGGGGGGACTTTCGACGAAACATAAAAAGTAGCCCACAAATAACCAAAAAAAAAATCCAAAAATAGTCTGGGGACTAAGTTTTGAATATTGTTTTACCTCTTGGGGGTATGTTGGGGGTGCTTTTTATTTTTCGTCGAAAATCCCCCTGTAGGGGGACACGCCAGACACAAGCATAATGGGGAACAAGATCGGCACGCCAAACCTGGGGACGGAAAGAAGGATGCGGACGATGCCCAACCGAAAGTGGTTTCCTAAATCGGCAGCGGCTGCTGCTTCGCAAGCGACGCCCGTCCCTAACTCACGACGCCCGCGGCGACACCGAAAAGCGAGGTCCTGCCCAAGACGGGCACAGGCTGCTGCTGGTCTTGGCCCCCATGCCGTTCGTCCCCATCCGTGCCGTGCCGATGTGTCAGACTCCTGCCTTGACGACGAGGGGCACCGCGGGCGCTGCTCCTGGGTCATTTCTGGTAGCGGTCCTTACCAGGACAGGGCGGCAAACGGTCACGTTTGGACGGGGTGGGGCACGTCCCAGCCAGGGTGCGCTGCGATCGCCAGAGTGTGCGCGCGAGCACCGACATGTGGGTGGGGGGGTCCGGGCCCTCCCCATCATGTCCCGAGGAGAGAGGGGGGGATGGGGTCAGGCCTGGATAAGGACCGTTACGCGCCAAAGCATAGAACATTATAAAACAAAATGAAAACAAAAAGTTGTTTTAACAAACAAACAAAAAACTTTTAACAAACAAAAAAAAAAAAACTCCCCATCCCGACCGTGCCGACGTCAGGATCATGCCTTGACGACCAGGGGCCCCACCTGGACCGTCCAGCCTCGACGAGGGGGAACGCCAGGGGGGGGACCGGCTCGAGGGGGGAGCATCGAGCTGGAATCGGCGATACATCGTCGCAAGATCGGCGATAGGCCCCCGGCGGCGGATCCGCACGGCTGCTGGGCGGGGGGCTATCGGGCCCAGATCGGCGATCAATGGGCGATTGAGGGCCTTCTCCTCCTCCTCCTCCTCCTCCTCCTCCTCCTCCTCCTCCTCCCCCCCTCCTCCTCCCCCTCCTCTCCTCCTCCTCCTCCTCCTCCTCCTCCTCCTCCTCCTCCTCCTCCTCCTCCCTCCACCTCCTCCGCCTCCGCTCCGCCTCCGCCTCCTCCTCCTCCTCCTCCTCCTCCTCCTCCTCCTCCTCCTCCTCCTCCTCCTCCTCCTCCTCCTCCTCCTCCTCCTCCTCCTCCTCCCTCCTCCTCCTCCCTGGAGGGTGGACGTGTACTCCAGATTTCGCAATAAAGGGAGGGGGGTCTCATTTCGGGGGGGGTCTTTTCCAAGCTATCTTGGAGGGCCTGGGGGGGTCTGGGGACGATGTTTTGGAGGGTTCTCCCACGGGGGGGGTCTGAAATGGCTTGTCTTGGAGGGTCCAGACCCCCTCCCTTTTATTACGAAATCTGGAGTACAAATTCCAGCCTCGGACTGGTGGGCCTGGCCGAGGCTGGCGGTGGCGTGCAGCGCTCGGTCCCTGGGCCGTGCCTCGTACGACCCGCGCGGCCTCAGTCCGCGTACCTCGCCACGAATGCCTCGTGGTGGTCGCGGAAGGCGTCGAGGGCGCGGGCGAGCTCCTGGGAGGCCCGTCCTACCACACCGAGATCGAGCACAAACGAACCTCATAAGAAGCACCCCGACAAGCTGAGCCGTTGAGTAAACGCACCCACGGGAGAAATCGATCAGGGCAGGGCTGTTTAGGAAACGCCCACGGCCTTGATCCAACGCCCTGCCCTTTCCACCCCAGGGCTCCCTTCTGAACCCATCCGGCATCTGAGCCCGCTCGGGCCGCTCGGGCCCCGAGAGGGCCCACAGTCGAGCCCGTTCCGCGGCCGAGCTGGCTCAGGGATCGAGCCCATTCGGCTGCCCCTCCGGCGGCTGAGCGGGCTCGGGAGTCGTCTGCGGGTTCGGGAGGGAGCCCCGGGGCAGCCGGAGGGAGGAAGGACGAGGGCGGAAGCAGGCGAAGGGAGAGAGGATGACAAGGAGGGAGGGAGGGAGGACGAGTAGGAAGTGGGAGGCCGGAGCGCGGAACCCCGCGGCCCCCACTGTGGGGACAAGAGGCCTGCTCGGCGGACGCGTGAGCCACTGAGCAACTCGCCTCTCTGCTACTCTAAAAACTGCATTATCCTTTTTTTCTATGTTTCTATAATAATAGTAATAATAATACTATTATTATTAATAATAATAATAATAATATAATAATAATAATAATCATAATCATAATAATAATACTAATAATAATAAAAATAGTAATAATAAAAATAATAATAATAATAATAATAATAGTAATAGTAATAGTAATAATAATAATGATACTAATCATCATCATCATCATCATCATCATCATCCTCATCATCATCATCATCATCATCATCATCATCATCATCATCATCATCATCATCATCATCATCATCATCATCATCATCATCATCATCATCATCAGAACTGCATTCTCCTCAGGAGCTCAGCAACCCGGCAGCCGAGATTCGCAGGCCGCCAGCTCTGAGAGCACGGAGCTGCCCCGTGTCTCATCCTTGAGTCCTGCGAGCGCACGCGAAGCCCCACGGCCCCAAGACCGATGCATCCTCCTCCCCGCCCCACGCTTCCCCCGCTCCTGGGCGCCCTGGGGCGCGTACCTAAACAACACAGGCGCGGCCGTGCTCCCAGGGCCACGATAACTGCTCCCCTAAACCAGGCGTGACAAGGGGATTCTCGCTCAATTGTGCAAAAACGGATGGGCGCGTTACCATTCGCCCCAGGCGGGCCCGACCTCCCCTGGCTGCTCACCGGGGGGGGGGTTCGGGGCTGGTGAGGTGATCGGGGATGCTGGGATCGCAAGGTCAAGCAAGACCAAGCAGCGCCAACCCCGACGGCGCTTTTCTATGTGAGGCCCCCGAGGCTCACTGGGAGTCTGGATGGCTCCAAGATGGCCTTCACTGCCACCACGTGACCGCCAACGACCCCCGAGACGGCCCAAGAAAACCCCAACACGGCCCACGATGGCATCCAGATGGCCCACGAAGCCCCCAAAAGGGCCCCCGAGGACGCCCAGGAGGCCATCCAGAGGCACACGTACGACTCGCATATCATGTATTTCGCTGGCTGGTGCAAAGTCGCCTTTTCGGGCTTACACAATCTCAAGACAGCCCAAGAGGCCACCGGGGACGTTCCAAGACGACCCAAGAAGCAAGCAACACAACCCCAAGATGGCCCCAAGACGGCCCAAGACGCCTTCAAGATGCCCCAAGAGGTCCCCCAGACGGCCACAACAGGGACATAGGGGGAACTCAAACGACGAAACCTCCGGACCTCTTCCCTCCAAGATTGCCTCCAAGGCCCCCGACACGCTCCCAGGAAGCCCCCAAGAGACCTTCAAGACGCCGGTAAAGAGCTCCCGAGAGCCTGCCAAGAGGCCCACAGAGAGCAACCCCAAGAGGCCCCCGAAGAGGCCCCCGAGAGGCCTCCGCGCAGCTCCAGTCCTGCCTCCAAGAAGTCTCCGATACGCCTTCCAGAGGGAGGCGAGGCGGGGCGAGGCGCCGACATACGTCCCGGAGGACGGCCCACTAGGGGGTGCGGCGGGGGCGCCGGAGCGCCGAGAGCTCCTACTTGATGAACTTCTGGATTCGCCCAGGCGCGTGCCAGAGATCATACACCAGACGTGCCAGCTCCAGAAAAGAATCAGATGTTGATAATGGATCTCCGCTTTCATAATGGATCTCCCCCCCCTTCCAGAGGGAGGGGGGGGAACGGGAGAGGAGGAGCAGGAGGAGGCGCGGAGGCGAGGCAGGAAGAGGTGGGCCGGGCTGTGGACAAGGTGTATCTCTTCAGTCCATAACGTCAGTCACTCTGCTCCCACGTCGACCGCCGGGCAGCTACTGACAACGCTTTCACTGATTCGGGCCGTGAAGAACGCCTTGGACGCATGGCGTCTCAGGGTGCCTTTTAGCAATGTCTGACATTTCGTCGTTCGCGCGCATGTGCGCCGCAATTCGCGCGGCGCCTCAAACCTGTCCCAACGAAGCCGCAAGATGGAGATGCCTCTCACATGCGAATCCCCAACTAGCACAGAGAGGGCCGCCATCAATTGAATGTGGCCAATGTCGTGATTGCCAACAACATTGCCCGACAGGGACCCCAGCCCCGCCACTGTGTGAGTCAGAACGCAGAGCCGCGAAACGCTGTGGATAACACTACCTCCTCCTCCTCCTCCTCCTCAACATATTAACCTGCTCTTCTTCCTGGGCCTCCTCTTCGTCCGCCTCCCCCTCCATTGCCAACCCCCCCCCCTCCAGAGACTCAACATACACGCACCACTCCCAAGCAGATCCCCAGGCAGCCCAAGAGGCCACAAAAGGGCCACGAGACGCCCGGAGGTGGGGGGCTCTTGCCATGAAGTTGTCCGCGGATGGGTGTGGCGTCAGCCGATCGACTCAGACAACCCTCCTGCTGCGGGCCCAGGAAACTCCTTCTCTGCTGCGGCCTGAGACAAGTCCTTCCCTGCTGCGGTCTGGAAGAAGTCCTCCTCTGCTGCGGCACCAGACAGGCGGACCCTTTCCTCTTGCCCCCTATCCCTCTCTAAGGCCTTCTCCGACAAATTCGAAGCCTTTGGGGCCAGGATTTCCACCACTGTGCTTCCTGGCACGTTGAGGCGTGGTAGATTACCCAGGGTTGTCATATGAAAATCCGAAGGCCCCCCATCTCGGCACATCCAGCTGCACGTCGCCCCGCCCCCCCCCCCCCTCCCGATCGCCCTGTCCCCCGACGCATCCCTGTCGCTCCCCAAGGCTGCCCAGACGCCCTAGACAGGCCACAAAGGCCGCCAAAACGAAAAATGTCACATGTGACGACGTTCCGCCTCCTCCTCCTCCTCCTCCTCATCATCATCATCATCAGCAGCAGCAGCATCAACATCAACATCATCATCATCATCATCATCATCATCATCATCATCATCATCATCATCATCGTCATCATCAAAATTATCATCATCAGCATCATCAGCATCATCATTAGATGCAGCCTCACCATCATCATCAGCATCAGCATCAGCATCAGCAGTATCATCATCCTCAGCATGAACGTCATCATCCTCAGCCTCATCATCAGCAGCATCAACACCACCGTCGTCATCATCATCACCATCGTCAGAGTATCGTGTTTCTTCTGCATCATCATCATAGCCATCAGCATCATCATCCGCTTCCTCCTCCTCATCATCGATATATCGTCGGTGGAATCATCACCATCACCATCATAAACAGCATCCTCATCATCAGCAGCAGCGTCAGCATTATCATCAGCATCATCATCAGCAACATCAGCATCATCATCAGCATCACCACACTCAACATAATCAGCAGCAGCACCAGCATCATCAGCATCATCATCAACATCATCATCAGCAGCAGCATGGCCATCGCCATCGCAACCACCATCACAATCACCATCATCTGCATCAGCGTCAGCATCATCATCAGCAGCAGCCGCCGCCGCATCTTCATTGTCATCTTGACGTCAACATCGTAGCCGCCGTCGTCGCCAATACCACCACGATCACTATCACCAGCATGCAGCATGATGATCACCGTCATCACCACAACCATCATCAGTAGCATCGTCATCATCATCATCAGCATCATTATCATCAGTATCAGCATCAGCAGCATCGTCATCACCATCGTCGTCATGAGCATCATTACCATCATCAGCATCGTCATCAGCATCTGCATCATCAGCACCACCATCGTCGTCATCATCATCACCATCATCAATATCGTCGTCATCGTCATCAGCATCCACGTGACCGTTCTCGTCATCGTCCTAATCTTCACCACCACCCTCATCAGCATCATCATCAGCAGCAGCAGCATCAGCATCAGCATCAGCATCAGAATCAGCATCAGCATCAGCACCACCACCATCATCCCCATCAGCGTCGTCAGCATCATCATCACCATCACCATCGCGCCTGACAAGCTCACAGACTTCGAAGACGCACAAGCAAACATATCCTGGCGACAGATCCAGTCATATGCAAGTGTGCATACCGCGTTGTGGGTACCGCCCACTTTCGATTGAACTCTTCTGGGGGCCACGAAACGTGTGAGGGGTGTGCCGAAACGGGTGCTGTGGTACCATGCGGGCGCTGCCACAGGGGCCTTCGGTGGAGCTCACCATGGGCCACGAAACGTGCGAGGGGTGTGCCGAAACGGGCGCGGTGGTGCCATGCGGACGCTGCAACTGGGGCATTCGGTTCAGCCCCCTGTAAGGGCCACAAAACGTCTGAGAGGTGCGCCGAAACGGGCGCGGTGGTGGCATGCGTGCGCTGCCACTGGGGCCTTCGGTGAAGCTCCATGCGGGGGCCACGAAACGTGCGAGGGGTGTGCCGAAACGGGCGCGGTGGTGTCATGCGGGCGCTACCACTGGGACTTTCGGTTGAGTTCCCGATGGGGCCACGGATAGTGTGAGGCATTTGCCGAAATGGGCGCGGTGGTGCCACGCGGGCGCTGCCACTGAGGCTTTCGGTGGAGCTCCCTGTGGGGCCACGAAACGTGTGAAGGGTGTGCCGAAACGCGTGTGGTGGTGGCATGCGGGCGCTGCCACTGAGGCTTTCGGTGGAGCTCCCTGTGTGGCCACGAAACGTGTGAGGGGTTTGCCGAAACGGGCGCGGTGGTGCCATGCAGGCGCTGCCACTGGCGCATTGTTAGGAGCTCCCTGTGGGGCCACGAAACGTGCGAGAGGCGTGCCAAATTGGGCGCGGAAGGGCCGTGCGGGCGCTGCCACTGGGGCATTGTTTGGAGCTCCTGGTGGGGCCACGAAACGTGCGAGAGGCGTGTCGAGTTGGGTGCGGAAGGGCCGTGCGGGCGCTACCACTGGGGCCATCGGAGGATCTGCCTGTGGCTCCGAGCTGGATCGGAGGAACGGCCCGAAAGCTGGAGCCCCACCAAGCCCGAAGAGCCCCTCCAAACCCGAAGAGGTCCTGACGTCAGCGCCTCGAATGCACAGCAAGGAGCACCGCCCTCCCCTCTTGCCGGCCGCCCGACATGCGATGTCTTGATGTGTTCCATACGCGGTCCCCAGAGAATAAGAGCCATTCCCCGGGGCCGGTTTTTTTAATCCAAAAACTTTTTGTTGACGGTCCCAAGGCCTGGCATCGGCCCTTAAAAACCGAAACTTACGAAAAACCTTCCGTCATGATTCTTTCACGACGCGGGCATGCCTGAGCCTACAGCAGGGAAAACCGCCCTCCCCGTTGGCCGTCCGCCCAAAAAGACACCCTGGTCCTTCTCCTCGGGCAGGAAGGTGATCCGGAAATGCCACTGGCCAGGCCTCTGTCCAAAGCCCGTGCCAGGCACGGTCACGATGCCCGTGGCCTTCGCGCGGGAGAGGCGACGACGACGACGACGACGACGACGACGACGACGACATCCCGTGCAAAAACCACCCTCAACCGAAACCACAACCCCGCCAAACGATCTCCACGGCCCTCGGACTCGTACCGAACGCAGCCACTGGAGATTGACCTGGCGTCCCCCATTGACGTTTCCTCTCCTCTGGAGACTCGGCGGAATTGAGCCGACCTTGATGTCATTATGCAAATGGCTCGGAGGAGGAGGAGGAGATACCTTCCAGAAGCTCCAGAGTACCCAGCGGCCCTCGCTTCCGGAGCCCGTGCGACCAGCAGGGAAACCTCTGAAGACCCTGAAAACTCGAGAAGCCTGTGGCATATCATCACCAGGATTTCTTGCTCACCTGCGGAAGAGCGAAACGCCACTCGAACCAAAATCAGGAGGAGGGCAGCCCGTGGCCTCCAGCAAAGACAGGCAGTACATCAGGTCGGGCGCCAGGCCCTTCGCCTCCGCATCCTCGATCGCCTTGCGAGGCAGCTCGATCCTGAGACCGCGGGGCCGAACGCCAAAGAGCGACCAGCGGGTCTGAGCGGATGCAAGCTTTTCGCAATCATGCCTGTTACCGGGGCCGCCGCAACCCCCCAACACCCCGTCCCCCGGCGCGAACCGTGACGTTACCGGTGGTAACGTCACGGTTCGTGCTGGCGCCGTCTCGGAATGGTGAGCAAGTACCGACTTCCCAAACGGCGCCGGCGCAAATCGCCACGTCACCGACACCCCTTCCCCCCCTCCCGACGACCGTTATCGCCAAAGGAGCGAGTGGAGGACAAGGAGGGGAAGGAAAGAAGGACGACAGTCTCTGAACCTATAAGACCACTCTTCGGGTGGTAAGGAGTTAGGGGGAGACAGGTGCAGCTTCTGGTTTGCGAATGGTGCGGGATCGGAGTCGCGGTCTCTGAATAAGTGTGTGTATATACAAGCACATACACTCATAGTTGGCGCATATATAAAAAATAATATGCTGATGTGTATAGATATGTGTATGTGTATGTGTGTGGGTGTACGAGTACAAGGCGTCAGTGCACACTTGTATGTTGTATGCATGTATAATAATCAATTGTAGCCACACATATATATATATATATATGTGTATATCCGCGTTCCCCTACCGACATCGATGTCTAAAGCCATGTATGCACATATGGATATACACGTACATATTTGCACACCGACCTATATATCTGCCGGTATCAAGCCAATGCATCGATCGATCGCACGATAGATCTGAAGAATTATCAGATGTACTACCGATCAACCAATTCCATGATGCATCGACCGGCAAACATCACTGTGAAGAGGCCACACAATTTACCGTTCGATGTCACGATCCATCTGTTTGTCGGTATCACGATATGCCGGTCTTACTATTTATGTGTGTAACAAAAATAATTATCAGACTGAGGGGGCCGAACGGTCACTCACTGTCCCCCGGTGCGTGGCTGAAGTGGGATTCCGCGATGCGGATTATTGTTGTTCATGCTGTTGTGTGTTTGAGTGTTGCTTTGTTTGTGTGTGTTTGTTATTGTTGAAGCTTCTTTGTGTGTGTTAATGTTGTTGTTGGTGGTGGTGCTGGTGTTGGTATTGTTGTTATTGTTGTTAAACTCGCACTACTGATTGATTATTGTTGACCCCCCTCCGGTGACAATTGTGTTTTAAATTGAACTCGCACCCTGTTTTCTTACCAGGGAAAGTCACAAGGGTCAAACTGTGCCCCTGGCCCCCGGGTAACAAAAAACAACGGCTCCCGCCCGAGACTCCCCCACAATTTAGCCAGGACCCCCGCTCCCGCCTGAGACTTCGTCGCATTTTACTCAGGAATCGCGCTCCCGCTTAGGACTTCCTTGCGATTTAAATAAGAATCGCTCTCGGCGCTCTGGAGTCGCGCTGTCGCGGGAGACTCGCTTGCAATTTATTCCAGAATCGCGCTCTTGTGTTGGAGTTCCCCGCAATTGATTCAAGCGCTGGCACAACCACAAGGCAATCACGGGACAACCACCGGACGACCACGAAAGATTGGCCCGCCGGCCGTGGTCAGACGCAAGTGGTGGTTCGCGGCTCCAGGAAGGGAAATCCAGCTTCACTTCGGTGTCACCCCCCAAACCTCTGAACTGGTACCCCTCAGGAGAGCGCTTGTTATTCCCCACATCCAAAGTGGGGTTCTTGTTTTCTCTGCACACCCCCCGCGCAGGATCTCACACCCTCTCTCTCTCTCTCTCTTCCTCTTTCTCGCCATCATCATCATCAGTCATCATCATCATGACCCACGCCTCTCCTCCTCAGCACCATCACACTTACCCATACACCACTCGATCGCTCACTCACTCACTCACTCACTCACTCACTCATCATGATCATCACATGAGGATATCATCCGTTGGCGTCACACATCACTCAGTCAGTCCGTCACTCACTCGAGTATCAAGCGGGAGCGTCGTCTGTGAGTGAATTGCGAGGAAGTCTCAGGCGGGAGCCTCTCCCTATGGGGCCCGCAGATCATCTTACTAATCCGAGGCGGGTCATCGGGATCCTGTAACTGTCGTCACTTTTGGGCTCCTGGGGCGTGAATTTGGAGGAAGTATCAGGCGGGAGCGTCGTCTGTGAGTGAATTGCGAGGAAGTCTCAGGCGGGAGCCTCTCCCTATGGGGCCCGCAGATCATCTTACTAATCCGAGGCGGGTCATCGGGATCCTGTAACTGTCGTCACTTTTGGGCTCCTGGGGCGTGAATCTGGAGGAAGTATCTAGCGGGAGCCTCGTCTGTGAGTGAATTGCGAGGAAGTCTCAGGCGGGAGCTTCTCCCTATGGGGCCCGCAGATCATCTTACTAATCCGAGGCGGGTCATCGGGATCCTGTAACTGTCGTGACTTTTGGGCTCCCGGGGCGTGAATTTGGAGGAAGTATCAGGCGGGAGCGTCGTCTGTGAGTGAATTGCGAGGAAGTCTCAGGCGGGAGCCTCTCCCTATGGGGCCCGCAGATCATCTTACTAATCCGAGGCGGGTCATTGGGATCCTGTAACTGTCGTCACTTTTGGGCTCCTGGGGCGTGAATTTGGAGGAAGTATCAGGCGGGAGCGTTGTCTGTGAGTGAATTGCGAGGAAGTCTCAGGCGGGAGCCTCTCTCTATGGGGCCCGCAGATCATCTTACCAATCCGAGGCGGGTCATCGGGATCCTGTAACTGTCGTCACTTTTGGGCTCCTGGGGCGTGAATTTGGAGGAAGTATCAGGCGGGAGCCTCGTCTGTGAGTGAATTGCGAGGAAGTCTCAGGCGGGGGTCTCCTCCCTATGGGGCCCCCAGATCATGTTACTAATCCGAGGCGGGCCATCGGAATCTTGTAACTGTCGTCACTTTTGGGCTCTTGAGGCCTGAATATGGGAGAAGGATCAGGCGGGAGCCTCGTCTGTGAGTGACTTGCGAGGAAGTCTCAGGCGGAAGCCCCCTCCCTATGGGGCCCGCAGATCATCTTACTAATCCGAGCGGGTCATCGGAAACCTGTAACTGTCGTCGCTTTTGGGCTCCTGAGGCCTGAATATGGGAGAAGTATCAGGCGGGCGCTCCATCCCAGGAAGTATCAGGAGGACGACGGTGATGGCTTTTTCCAGATTCGCCCAGAGGATTCTTATGTGGGGTTCTTCCGTCGGAGTAATTTTTCGCGATAGCGGCCGGCCCCGGCCGGCACCCCCCCTCAGCTAACGTCACGATACGTGCTGACCTTGTGGGTGCCCAGGGCTATTCCTAGACATTCCCGAATGGCGCTGGTGCGAAACGTGACGTTGTCAGTCCCCCGATAACACCCGCATCGCCCTGGGACGCAGTAGCGCTCTACAGGGAAAGGCAGGAGGACGGAGAGGAGGACTGTAGGGTGGGGAGCAAAGGGGTGCTTCTGTTGGGCCTGTTGTCCACCACCACCACCAGAAGTTTGGAGGGGGAAGGAGGCGGAGGACGAGGAGGAGGAGGACTAAGAGGAGGAGGAGGAGGAGGAGGAGGAGGAGGAGGAGGAGGAGGAGGAGGAGGAGGAGGAGGGAGGAGGACGGAGAGGAGGAGGAGCCCCAAAGGGTGGGCTCGTCCCCGCTGGAACCGATCACGGTCGAGGCGCGCCCGGGCGAGGTCGGGCGGGTGCCGACGCCCACCAGGATCTGCGCCCGACGCTGGGCATCGGGGGGCCAGGCGGGGAGTGGACAAACTCCCCGCCTGGCATCCTCCTCCTCCTCCTCCTCCTCCTCCTCCTCCTCTCCTCCTCCTCCCCTCTCCTCCTCCCCTCCTCCTCCTCCCTCTCCTCCTCCTCCTCCTCCTCCTCCTCCTCCTCCTCCTCCTGCTCCTCCTCTCCTCCTCCTCCTCCTCCTCCTCCTCCTCCTCCTCCTCCTCCTCCTCCTCCTCCTCCTCCTCCGTCCCCTTCTGCCAGCAAGAAAAAGCACACGAGCAAGGGAAAAGAAAGGGCCTTACGCGAGATGCCACAGCGAATTTACGCCGCGGCTTACGCGGGCCGCCAGCGCGGCACGCTACATTGGAAACGAGGGCGCTTACGCGCGACCTTACGCGGGCAGCTTACGCACGAATGTCGGCGCGGACGATCCCATTGTGATGCGTCGCCCATATGCACATACGCGCACTTCGCGGCTTGGCGTGCACGAAAGACTGCGTTCAAACGCAGGCCAGCGGAGACCGACAAACACATGTCACTGGACTGGCACACAAAGTCACCCCTAGAAGAGCACATGTTTGCCAGCGTGGACCCCGAACAGTAGGTCAATGCAGTCTCGATGCGCAACAAATGCGATGTGAAACATGTGGTGCAATCAGTGTGGTGTGATCTACATGGTGCAGTCTATGAATGGAGCTTTCTACGTGGCGCGCGAATGCAGTGCAAGCAATTGTAAAGAATTTCATCAGATCCGGTGCTCGAGAAAAAAAGCGCTCACCCACCCTTGACCTCTTGGCAACAATCAAAAGGCCGTGAGCGAGAACCACCCTGCGCGCGACCCCCTATGATTTTCGAAACTGCGCGGTGGGCTCGAACGATGCCCACATGCGTGCAATACTAGTGCTGCAGGGTTACTAAGGGAGCAAACAACGACATGAACATAAAAACTCAGAGGTCCGCGCAGATTTCTTGGATCGGCGCTTGACCCCCCTGGCGGCGCCTCCGGCGCCGCCCCTGGCGCGCTCCGCGCGCCAGAGAGGGTGGCGACAACGTTGGCGACGCGCCGGGAAGCCACTGCGCGAACGCCCGGAAAGACTGGCAGGCGCCCGGGGCAGCGAGGAGTAGGGAGACGAGCGCCCACAAGGCGAGACTCGGGACACGCGACCCAGTTATCTCATGGAGGGGGGCGAGAAGGGTAGGAGAGCAAAGGGTAAGTTCGGAAACAGCTACTAAGAGGTCTTCGTCGGAAAGAATACGGAGGATTAGGCCCAATTGGGGGGGCTTTTACGCTGGTTTCGGCCGCGGATTAAGCGGGACTAAGCCGGATTAAGCGGGATTAAACGGGATTAAACGGGAATCAGCCGGATTATGCCAGGTTTCGGACCAGGGCAAAATCAAAATTTGACCTGCCAGGAATTGCATCCGAAGGTAGGGCAGAGAATCAGCTCACGTAGCTGGTTTTCCTGGGGCCTCCTGGCGCCGGGAGGCGACCACGCATCGAGGAATGGGCCCGGCGGCGGGGCCGAAACCAGCTGCATGCAGCAGATTTCGTACACCCCCCTCTCCCTGCCCTGCCATTCCAACCGGCCCCCGAATTTAGCAGCTCGTGTAAGAACCCTTTGGTGCAAGCACTGTCGGAAAAGCGGCACAACGCACCAATTTTGGGAGGTCCGTGCGGACCTCCGAAAACGCATCTGCATGCCGTGCCCTTCTCTTCTCTGGAACCGCACATGCCTGAATACACATTCGGAAGACTGGCGTACACGACCATAGAAGGGCCGAGCGCTGTCGGGCGTTGGCAGAACTGGGTCTAGTGGGACCTGGTTTAGTGATGTGTACTGGGGGACGCCCCCCCCGCCCCGTTCCACTAACCAGAACTGCCGTCACCCGAAAAAGCACCATGTATGGCAGACCTGATTTCGTGATTCTGGCAAACTGTTAGGGGCTCCGGGGCCCTGGCACTGACCGGGTCCCCTCACCTGGGGTCCTGGCTGTACCCGACTCGTCCACGCAGGCCGCGCCACGTGGCGGACTCCGGAAACCCTGAACCCAAAAATTTGGCCGTCTTTTGGCCGTCTTTTGGTGGAACATATTTGGCCGTCTTTTGGTCGTCTTTTGGTGGAAAATATTGGCCGTCTTTTGGTGGAACATATTTTGGCCGAAACCCGAAAATTTGGCCGTCTTTTGGTGGATCATATTTTAGGCCGGCCCGCTTCCGCCAGCCTTCCGCCGGCTTCTGCCCGCGGAGGCGGCCTCGGTTCACTTCCGCCGCCCTCCGCCGTGCTTCCGCCGCCCTCCGCCGGGGAAGAGGTGCCGCCTCCTTCGGTCCTCGAACGGGGAGGGCCTTCCTGGAACGCCTCACGCGCATCCAGCTTCCCGCCATGCTCGCGTCGGGCTGCTTTCCATACTTCGATCACTCTGCCCTCCCCAGATCACGATTTGAAGAGGGACGTTTTACAGTAAGGGCCCGACCACAAGAAACCTTCCGCAAGAAACCCAACCCTGACATCCCAGGACGTCCATTGATTTTTGGTGTGGGAACGTCACGCTTTCCATCGCAAAACCATCGAAACCCAAGAAACCCAGGGCACCCTGGAGGCAAGCAGGGTGTTTCTTGGCATGGGTCCCCACTGCAGGTGGGGGCTGGCCCAGGGGGGGAAGCACATCGAGCCCGACCCGGCGACGCTTCGCCGGATCAATCGGCCATGTGGGCCCAACAACACATCCGCACGCTCCTGGGCGGGCTGGTCGGGGATCACTGAGCGACTGGGGGTCGATGCATCCCCCCCCGGGCCCAACTCCACCTAACGGTAAGTCGGGCGTGTCCCTCTACAGGAGGAGTATTCAAAAATAGTAAAGAAATATGGGGACGATATTTCGATTATTTGCATGTTGGAGCACTTTTAGAATATTTTGCTTTTTCGTCCAAAACCCGCCTGTGGGAGGACACGCCCGACCCAACCCCAAGGTTGCCCCTGACAAGTCACTGTTTCCCAGGGTCCGCGGAAAGGCGTACATGGCGCCGGCGGCGGCGTTGCAGGTCACCCCGTCGACCTGAGGGGGCGGCAGGGGGGGATGCGGGGATGCCGCTGCCGCCACTCTTCGAGCGCACGCTCACATGGCTTACGGATATGTGGATCTGGCGCACGGGCGACAGATCCACGGATCGGGGATGGCACTCCCGAAACAGGAGGCCAACGCCGCCCGATATCGGGCGCAAGATCGCGCGCCTGCTGTACGGAGAGGGGACCCTTCGCTGATCCACGCGCCTTCCTGCGCGCCTGCGCTTCCCGGAGCTCTGGGGACCGCTCCCAGACCGCGTCTTGACCAGGACTCCGAGATGAGCCCAGACTTCGGGCGAACTGTCGTTTGTCCACTCACTCCTCGCGTCTTGCCCGTCCGGCGTCCGGGGGCCACTGCTTCATGCCCCAGGACCAAGAACGGCCGCTGGACAGTGGCTCAAGACCTCTGGGGCTCTGGGGCCCGCGAGCTGAAGAAGACAACATCTATCGGTGTCTGGGAGTCCAGCTGTGGCGACGAGGGCCCCCCAGGGAGGCCAAAACAGGCGAAAACGACGGAGCAGCATCGGTATCGGCACGTTGTTGATCCTCTGAGGCCTCGTTCAGCCTGGCGGTGAGCGCGGCGGCCTTGCGCTGCAACGAGCCGAATATACGGGAGGACTCCTCCTCGAAGAGCCTGTAGCTGGGCTCGCCAGGCTTTGGTGGTCGGACCATGAGGCCCGTCATGACCTGCCCGTCCAGGTTGGGGCAGAGCTGGCTGCTCTGCAGCTTGTACAGCTGCGCATGCACCTGCTGGAGGCGCGCCCACGCAGGTGGCGGGGAAACCAGAGGGTATACCCATACCGCTGCTCCCCGGACCTCTCTCAGGCTGCGTTCTGACCAGGATTTCGCGGCGAAGCCGACGATGGCGACGAAGGCCTCCTGGGAGGCCCAAACAGGAGAGAGAGCGCGGCAAAGGCAGCGGTATTGGTACTCTTTTCCCCCTCGGAGGCGAGGAGGGCGCCCTCGAAAAGCTCGAAATGCTCATAGGCCAGCTTCTTCGAGAGGCTCGAGATGCTCATAAGCCGGCTTCTTGGGAGGCGGGAGGGCCTCTGAGAAGCCTGCTGCCTTCTCGGAGGAGGCCTCCCCGTCCCCCCCCCCGTTGTGCACGCCGCCAAACCTGGGGGTCGATGTTCCAAAACTCCATGTAGCCTCCCCAGGGGGGCTCGAGCTCAGCAGTGTTTTTTCGTGTTCGTGTTGGTTGTCGTTTTCATGATTCTGGCTTCGTTCCGCCTTTGCTGTGAAACGACATCAAAACGAACACGGTCCACGAGATCGCCAAAACACCGATTAGCTCGAGCCCTGAACCTCCCCGACGTCCACACTCGCCAATCAGTCCCTTGGACGTGGAATGGAAAGATACCAGTTCCACCCGCTCTGCTCCAGCTGAGGTCTGCTCCAGCTCGTGAGCAATCTTCCTGGCAGAGACGAACCTGGACCCGGGCAGGTAAACGTTTTCCTGGTAGACCTCGTCGGCCAAAAACAACAGCTTCTCCTTTGCGCAAAACCGCGCCACCATCCGCAGAGTCTCCTCTGACAGGACCTGCCCCGTGGGGTTGCCGGGGTTGATCATCACCAGCGCGCGCGGGCGCTGGCCCTTCTTCCGAGCCTCACCGATGGCGCGCTGGAGCTCCTCGACGCTCAGACCCCAATCGTTCTCCTCGTCCAGATAATACGGAATCATCTTGCCGCCCAGAAGCGTGATCAGCGCCGAATAGATCGGATACTGCGGAACCGGCACCATCACCGCATCCTTCGGGTTCGCGAGGAGCGCCGTGAACACACTGGTTATGCCGGCGCTGGCGCCGTTGAGGAGGAATATGTTGCTGATGTCGCACTCGGGGCCGCCGTCCCTGGCCTCGATGAAGTCGCAGACGTCGCGACGGACCGATGCCAGACCCTGCGAGTGCGAATAGGCACCAGTACTGCCACTACTGGAGAAAGACCTAGCCCGCTCGATCACATCGGACGGGATCTGAGTTCCCCGCCTGAACATCCAGCTCGAGCTCTTCTGGAGTAGGCTCGGGGAGTCCACCAAGCTCAGAACTTGGCGATAATAGGTTATGGGCGGCTGGCCAACCGACTGCGGGTTGCCAATGTTGCATCGCAACAGGCTCGAGAAATTGAAGGGGTGATCCTGGCCGCTAGCGGCGCAGGCCTCCATTTCAGCAGCAATCTCCTCGGCCCTTATAGGAACCTCCCCGCGGACGGCGTACTCCATGTCCTTCAGACGAGGGTTCATGCTGTCGAGGTTGAATACCTTTCGGACGACAGAACACACAGGGCTTCTGAGATTCGAGCGATCCCTCTTGTCCTCCTCCCCCTCCTCCTCCTCCTCCTCCTCCCTCCTCCTCCTCCTCCTTCTCCTCCTTCTCCTCCTCCCCCCTCCCCCGCCTCCCCTCCTCCTCCTCCTCCTCCTCCTCCTCCCGCCGGCGTGTGCAAGGGGGGGGGGGGGCGCGCGAGGGGGGCGGCCCTCCGAGGAGGCGGGGTGCCACTCAGAGGGCGAGGGCCTCCTTGGCAGCGCCCGCAGGCTCGCGGGAGGCGTCTTCGAGCCGGGATGGCGCCGCTCCTAGAAGCCCACCTCGGAGCCGGGACGTCGTTTTCGAAGCCAGGATGGCTCGTGAGTGGCGTCTTCGAACCTCAGAGGCCCGCCGCCCTCTCCGGAGCGCCTCGCCATTCCCAGAAGGCCGCCACCCCCCCCCCCACCCAGGGCCAACACCCTGCGCGCGCCGCGAAACTCTGTCCCTCCTCCTGTCGAGGCGGCCGGGGGGACTGAGCTGGAGAAGCATTCTGCGGCAACTCACGGGAGCCTCCCATGCCATCTCGTCTCCTCTGCGGATCGACGCTGAATCTACGCTGATTGGCTGGCTCTGGTCCCCGCTAGTCGACGCTAAATCCATTCCATCCATGATCAGGCGCTTGTCGACCCGAATGCGCTCTAAAGACGAAATGACGCAGATGTGCAAGGCCCCGATCACTTGGCACCGAGGAAGCCTCGAGAAAATCTGTCAACAAGTGGGGGAATGAAGGCAAGTTCGCTCAACATCTGTCCCCAAACCTCACGTAAGCTAGTCTCCATCAGGGAGGCGTCGTGACCGAAACTGTGCCCAAAAGTCTGCCCGAGTGTGACCGAAACTGGCGCCCAACATTTCCCGACCGCGCCCGAGTGTGACCGAAATGCTCGGTTCGAAACCAAGACGATGTACAAGTTCGGTCACAACTTCGGACGCACGACGTTTTCGGTCACAGCTTCGGGCACGTTTTCGGTCACCGACTAGGCTCGGTCACCAACTTTTTCGGCAGGTATGTTGAGTAGGGCTGGGGGGACAGGTCTGCAAAACAGCCCAAACGGACGTCGAGCGGCGCAAACAACCTGTTCGGTCAAGCTGAAACTGGTGCACCACACCTGGCGTCAAGCGACAACTTTGGACAGACTGCGAAGCGACCGAATGGGTGTTGCACATCTTCGCCGGCTCAACCAGCGAGGCGTTTGGCCACCTTGACGCCCTTCTGTAGGCGGTCCTGCAGAGGAAGGCACTCTCTGACCCTCGGCCCTACTCAACTGAGAGGCGCGGGGTGCCATGACGTGGACACACAAGGACATGCAGTGCGGGCGCGGCCGCAAGAAACCCTCGCAAGAAACCCAGCCCTGAAACCCGCAGGCGCGAGATGCAACTTGGTGGAGCCCCGAGCACCCTGAGCGCAGAAGCTCCTTCAACGGCCACGGGAAGCCACCGCGCAGCGGGCGGAGCGAAGAAACCCAGGGTACCCTGACGAAAAGCAGTTGGTTTCTTGACGCGCGTCCCCACTGTACTAGTACGATGTGTCCGCCTCGGGGGCGCAGGTCCGACCCGATGTGGCATACCCATCTTGTGGTGGATCGATTCCCGAGCGGCAGGGTCAAAAAGCGCCCACCAGGAAACTGCTACTCCAAGACTTCTCGGCGCGCGCGCCGCCTCTGGGGGAGGCGACGCACGCACACACACACACACGCACACACACACACACACTTGGACTGAGGGAGTATTCCAACATCGCTGATGCCTCTTGGGATTACACTGGTCCTCCTCCTCCTCCTCCTCCTCCTCCTCCTCCTCCTTGTTAGGCAAGCCAGTGGGCGCACACACACACACACACACAAGCACACACACACAGACACACACACACAGACACACACACACAGGCAGTGTTAGCATGTCGGTGTGACGCCGCTGACAAACCCCTCGTCGAGCCTCGTGGGGTTTAGACGGACTACGTACTCGAGGAACGCGTCCCGACAGGGCGACGAGGCGGGGAGTCCCTTTCTCTCCCCCCTTCCTCGGCTGGCCAAAACCAGCGCTGGGCCACCACGGCCTCCCGCCGCCTCCTCCTCGTCCTCCTCCTCCTCCGCCTCCTCCTTCTCCTCCTCCTGGGAACGACTACACGAGGGCCTGGGTCTGGTACCGATGCCAGGGCCCGTAAAGAGGGAAAAGGGCAGGAAGACTCACCCTGGACTGGGCCTAGACTCGTCTGGCCAGGCATCCCGGCTGGGTGGGAGCAGTCCTCTGGCGAGCTTATCCAAAGCTTTCTTGCCAGCTCCCGTCGGGCGCTGGCAGGCCTTCCCCAGAATGTTGAAACGGGTGTGCCCCGAACTACCACACACCTCCTTCTCCTCCTCCTCCTTCTCCTCCTCCTCCTCCTCTTTCTCCTCCTCCTCTTCCTCCTCCTCCTCCTCCTCATCCGACTCCTTGAGTCGCACATGTGCAACGAGGCTGTTGCGTTCGAGAGCTCCTCCTCTTCCTCCCCTGTCCTCCTCCTCCTCCTCCTCCTCCTCCTCCTCCTCCTCCTCCTCCTCCTCCTCCTCCTCCTCTTACTCCTCCTCCTCCTCCGCCTCCTCCTCCTCCTCCTCCTCCTCGTCCTCCTCCTCCTCCTCCTTCTCCTCCTCTTCTAGATAAATACTCCATGACACACCCCGAGGCCAATTGTTAGGACGGGCCGGGCGTTTCGCCTGAGACTTCCTCACCATGTTTTTGTGAGCCTGAAGCCTAAACATTGACAACAGTTTCACACATGGAGGGCGGGTCGTTTTCAAAATGCAGTGGTCGCCTTAACGCCGCGCACATTCGTTTCAAACATTCGCATGAGCTTCACGGGTTGAGGGCGAACTGCTTTCAAAATGGGGTTCTCGCCTTAGCGCCGCGCGCATTCGCTTCGAACATTTGCAAGAGCTTCACGGATTGAGGGCGGCTTCTTTTCAAAATGTGGCTCTCGCCTTAGCGCCGCGCACATGCGTTTGAATATGCAAGAGCTTCACAGATTGAAGGCGGTTTCGTTTCAAAATGTGGTTCTCGCCATGGCGCCGCGTACATTTGTTGTACAACATTGCAAGAGCGTCACGGATTGAAGGCGGCTTCGTTTCAACCTGTGGCTCTCGTTCTATGCGCACAATGTTTTATACATGTTGCAAGAGTTTTATGGTTTCCAATGATCAACGTACCAGAAATGGCATTCTGGAGGGATGCAAGATTATGAGGGCGCAACAGTTGCGTCGATTCGCGGTGTTGAAGTCCAGAGAGCGGCTTTCTGGCACGATTCAAGGACGCCAAGACGCAGCAGTGAGGTTGATCCGTGGCGTTGGAGTCCCGAGAACAATAATTTAGAATACTTCAGAAACTAAAACGGCTGTCGTCCGACAAGGGCAGTGTCCTCAGTGAAAATGAACCGTTGCAGGGGCCTGTGAAGAGGGAGCTTGGACTGAGGGAGTATTACAACATCGCTGATGCCTCTGAGGTTTACACTGGTCCTCTTTCTCCTCCTCCTCCTCCTGCTCCTTGTGAGGCAGGCCAGTGGGCGCACACACACTGTGCCTCCTCCGCCTCCTCCTACTCCTCCTACTCCTCCTTCTCCTACTACTAGCACTGCTA